AAAGGGCCTCGTAAACATAGGGTCTCGCTTCAGACGGCTTCTGGCCAGATTCGGGAATCCAATCCGGAGAGGTAACTCCAGTCCGGACAATGGTCCGGAGCTGTTCAATAGATGGCCGAGTATAAGACTGGAAGAGCCTAGCATCAATCTGACCCAGAACATCTTTGATCGTCTTGGACTCGTCACTCAGCTTCACTGAAAAGGCGTTCTCGAATTGCGAATTCAGGCTTGGAACCACCTTGGCCCGAAGGGCCTGCAGGTTGCTGAGAGTGAGGAGCATGCGGACATTCTGCCGTTGATTAGCTGCTAATCTTCGAATACGAGGCGTGCTAACTTACTCTGTCTCCAGCATCAAGGGTCGCTCTTCCGCCGCTGGGAGTAGGCCCGGCGGTGGCGACAATAGCACCGTCCGTATCCGTAGTCCAGTCATCATCAGCCTTCTTGACGGATCTTTCGGCGTTTTCCACCATGCCACTCAACGCCTTATAGAGCGTCGTGACGTACTGGCTTCTGACCATCTGCAAGAGTTTGTTAGGTGGTGGGAGAACAATATCCCCCGCACCAGGTTTAGACATGGCTTCAGATATGTAAAGAATCTTCTGCATGCCAGCGAGCAATGCGCCTTCGAAAGCGGAAAAGCTTGAGGGCATGCGGGTTAGATCACCGAGTTCTGGTGACCGGTGCCAATCTTCGACAAACTTGATGTTCTCGGCGTCCTTATTCCACGCGGCGCAAAGAGCAGTGACGCACCGCTCTCTGGCAACGTTGACGAGAGACTTGAGTCTGTCCTGGACGCTGGTATCCTGTCCGTTGAGAACCGGACCGATACTCGCCAGGTCAGAAGCACCGGAGCCAACCAGGGCGAGCATCTTGGAGAGGTAATGGACGCCACTGACTGAGTTCGACCATGGAGGCCAGAAAGCTAGCTTTTCCCATGTCTCGCCACGCTTGGGTGATGGTGGTGGGATGTTGTTGGGGTCGAGGTTGAGCCGAGGATCTCTCAGTCCGTTGGGTGAAAGGTTTCCGGTACTAGCGGATGGTGGACTCATTGGTGATACTGGAAGAGGCGAGAACAACAGCGAGATATCCTCCGGGGGTGGCCCTGCGAAGAAGGCGAACACCGTCTCGCGAATCATGTCGACGAGCTCCAATGTGCCCTTCTGTAGATCCTCCGCGCCCTGTTCCGTGAACTGGTGATGGCGTTGCGACTCTCCGTTGTAACCTAAGGGCAACGTGCGCTGTATCTTGCCATCCATGAAGCCCTGTACGATCTGCCAAAAATCCACGACTTCACCAAGAATGCCTTGCGAGGAGAGGATACTCGACAGGAATGCTAACATCTTCTCCCATAGCTCGATGATATCGGCAGAGTCGGCCGATGCGATTTTGTTCTCAACAGTGGTCTGACCTAAAGAACGGAGATGGGAAGCGACCGTGTGCGAGCCAGGCTTGTCGGCGTTGGCAAGGCGTCGTCGCAATACCTCGACTTCGATTTTGGAGCGATCAGACGTCGATTGGATCTTTCCCTTGAGATGGTCGTACCGACTAAGCAGCCAGACCCAAATCGGATTGTCGTCGACGCCCAGTTCCAAGAGTAGACTGATCAGCTCCATGTGCTGATCCTGTTGGCCCAGGTTGTCGGACTTGGAGACGCCATGAAGGGTAACGAGCTTCCGCCAGACGTCGCGCTTGAAAGCTTGAATTTGCTCATCCACATCGTGCCACATGCGTGCTGCAAGAACAATCTGGTAGATTGCGTCTGACGAGGCCTCGGTAGAAATGGTCGTGGCGAGGGCCCGCGCATTGTCGGAAAACTTGCGCGCCTTGTTGTACTCCTCCACAAGACTCTCATAATCCCTCCGCTTGATGCTGTCGGAGATCGCCGAGCTAAGCTCGACATAGTCCTTGAATTGATCAATATTGGCAGACAAGACCTTGAGGTTCTCCTCTTTCTCACGGCCTCCCAGTGCCGGACCCCACACATCTTCTGCCTTGGCGGAAACATCCAGCAGAGGTGCTTTGATTCCTGCGACGCCGTATTCGCTTTCCTTAATCAGCGCGTTCTTTTTGCGCGCATCCGACGCTGGGGTTCCTAGGGAAGCAGCGAGGTTCAAGTTGCTGATGCTGCCTCGGAAGCTGCTTCGACTGGCGTGGCGGGAGTGAGCACGGGCGCGACCCGTTGTAGGCGGTGGGGGTGGCTCGGCGCCGCGGTACTTCATCTCCCTGTAGACATTATCTATAGTGGCCTTAGCCTTGACGAAGCGCTCGAAGTTGGTCTCTACCAGGACCTTGAGTGACGCAGACTTTTGGTCAATTGACTGTGACAGAGTGTCCAGACCAGCAAGTAAGCTTTGAGTATCGGCAGTTGCGTGCATCTGAGACAGAAACAGGGCGGGGGAAAAGGTGGTGGAGGACAGAAGGAATCGATTGCCTGCGCATTGGTCAGTCCCTGATATCGTCTTCGTGTTTCGAACCCTACGTACGCAGGCGCGGATCATCTTGGATGGGAACTCCTAGCTGGCGGAGAGTCCTAACAACGCTGTCGGTAGTGCCCAAAGGATCTGGCTCGTCTCGCTGGACGATGTTACCGATGCCTCCCTTCTCCGACTGAGACCCAGGTATTATGCTCCGCCGATCGCTGACGGCTCTTTCTAGTGCCTGGTATCGTGACTTTCGGCGCTGCAGCTTCGCATTCTTCTCGTCTTTGGCGTCTTCGTCGTCATCGGATGCGTCACTCTGGTCCTTCTCGGCAGGCCACTCATTAGGGTACGGTGTGGGAAGTTGATAGAAATCCAGAATCGTTCGCTCATAGTCTGAAGCCATCTTTGGGGTATTTGGTAGGCTGCCTGTCGCAGAAAGCAATTATTGTCCCGATCTGTCGGAAAACGGATTTCGAGTGAGCTTGCTGCCAGCAGCAGCAGCAGCAGCAGCAGCAGCAGCAGTACTCGTCGCTGTTCTATTTCGACTTTCAAGCGCGAATGGCAATGCTGCTCAAAAACACCTGTCGTGCCAGGGCTGCAAGAAGCACGCAAACGAATGCATAAAGGAAGAGGTTGTTATCTAGCTACCTAGGTACCTACCTAGGTACCTAAAGTCACGGATACAGCCGGCACTTAGCGCACATCCACGCAGTTCAAACTGCCCCATCCCCAGGCTCTACGGCTCGGCGAAGGAGAAACTATGGCCCGCTCCTGACAACCAACAAATACCGCGTTCCGCACGCCTGAGCACCTCGCTCAAGCTTTCAACATCGGCGGTATGAGACCAGGAACTCCAGCCCGAGTCTTCCGTTGTCCGTGTGCTCATTCGCTGCCTCACGCTTTGATGTACATGCGTTGTACCGACAAGCTTGAAATCGTGCTGTAACCAGCCCGCGATGTACGGGGATAGGATAAGTATGATGTACGAATAGATGCTTACCAGAATATCGCTCATCTCGGCTTCACTTGTCTTACCTGGACGCGGCCTCTGCGGGGGTTTCCCGTTTCCGCGGCTTGTTATCGTCCCTAGATCCAACAAGCTTTGTCGGTACTGGGACCCCATCCGCCGTGTTTACCCACAAGCCACGTGTTGATGTGTGATGTGGCCGACGACTGGATAAGTCGGCACGTCCCTCTGCATGTTCTCTGCTATATATTGAAGTGCTCATGGTCCTTTTGCTGAAACCGTCTGCCCTTTTGCCGCATCTTCTACGCAGTCACATTCTGATTCAATAACTACATACTCATCACACACCTCTCTCCTGGGAAACGGTCACTTTCACAAACTTCCAGCACAACACTGCAGTCGAAATGCCTTCATCCGACGTTCAGAAGGACCAACTCCAGTCTGTCCTTGAGAGAAAGGGCATTCGCTTCCACGTCAAGACCGGCGGTGCCAAGTATGAGTGTCATCTCCACGACCGATCTTCCTAGTATGTGTTATCATTTCTCGACGTGCTGTGATCTAGTACTGACATTTCTCAGCGAGCGCATCAAGGCCGCCAGGGCTAACTCGTCCGGTTCTCAGGCCAGCTCCTCGTCCGCTTCCGCCGTCAGCAGCAACCACCAAACAGCTCACTGAATGGGGTAGCTGGTTGGTTTTTTACGATAGCAGGTTAAAAACAAAAATCGGCACTGAGAACGGCGTTGGGAAGAGCGAAGTTCGCCACACTGTTCCGACACAATCACGGCGTTATGATGAAGCACGACACGGATAAACGGACAGAAATGAACTACTTTCTCCGACACCTGGGCGATGTCAACGGCAACCAACGGTATCCCAACATCGCCCTTGGGATGTGGTCTTTTATCTTCCAGATGCGCACGAAGTCCTCCAGTCTTCAGGAGCACAGAAGGAAGGTACAATGAGTGGAAACAATACTGGAGACTGGAGACCAGGACCACGACCAGGACGTGCCATCCAGATAACATCGCCGGGCTGCATTAGGGCTAAGCAGTATCTGCGCGAAGTTTTCACAATCAGGCGGTGTCTAGAATAGCGCCAAGCTGATACAGTAGCCAGCGAAAAGGGCCTCCTCTTAGGTGGGTTGAATCTCATCTCTTCCCGCACGGACCAATGAACCTCTTGGCGCCTGCATAGTGCACATTCCCATGAACTTGATGAACAGGTACTGGAGGAAATGTGAATCTGTGATTATGACTTCTTTTCTTCTTCCTTCCATAATTCAGCCAATGACAGAGCCAGTTGTAACGATGCGGTATTGTACGGAGCGCCCGACATTGCAGCTCAACTGATCTTCTCAACTCATGACGCTGTGATGTTTAAAGTGGAAATAGCATCCTACAACCTCGGGAATGGGGATGCTTCCCTACTTGTGGGTCTTACGGCCGGCGTCGCCGTGGCTGACGTGACAGCTGTTGATTTACCTATGATAAGACGGTCTGGTCTAGACACAAACTCAGAACATACTTACTTAAACCGTCTCTGGTATTTGTCTCTCCCTATCTCCTTACTTTTAACCACACGTAACGACTATGCATACTCTTCGTTCCTCTATCATGGCTGCTGCCATGCTTACAGTTACCCCGGCTCTTGCCAACAGCTTCGAGTATAACCTTGTTGAAGGAGTCCCATGCACACAGCAACCAGACGAGTCATTCACTTGCTCGGATGGCAGCGAAAACTCAACTGTTGCACTGGACGACTATTATGCCGAAATTTCAGTTTACCCAACAACACCAAATCTAGGAGGAGTAAAGGCTGAATGTGGTGGTCCTGACGCGTTCATCTTCTTTGTTATGAACGCTGCAGGCTTTTACGTGGAGGAGTGTAGTGGGAAGGCTTTATCTTCTGTAATCACTGTTAGGGCCAGAAACGACTTTTCAATTCAATCCGCCGGCCAGGAGCTTACCTTCACCGATGCAGACCCGTGTACCCAGAGCTCTGACGGTGGTTTTACCTGTTCAGGTGGTGGCACAATTAGAACGGCTAATGGGGCTATTACGATGACTGCAGAGGAAGACGTTGACACGGCAATCAGGGTGATCTGCAATGCCGGCAGCTCTGTCTTCTACACATCTGCAGGAGACATAGGCAACTTCATGAAGCCTAGTGTCTGTGGAGACGGTATTACAAAGGCAATCAGCGTTAGGTCACGCGCGCAAATTAATCCAGTGCGTTAAGGCAACAAAATCTAAGACGCCTTTACCTATATTATATACCTGGCGGCAGCAAGTGACGCCGGTCGAGCTGAGCGACGAGGTGGATGAGGCTGTCGTAGGGGCTCGTGGCTGTCTACTCCCACACAACGGTACAGCAAGTCAACAACGCATTATTGTTAACTGGTCTCACCTTGAGAAAAAATGGCTACAAAGGCGGTTGTTTCTGCTGCATACACGAAGCGCGCCGGATGCCTAGCACAACTTAAAACTGATTCTATCTATTTCATGACCCGGCGGAGGCAACATCTTGGAAGTGTATGCTTTTGTAACAAGTGCTGCATTTGCGGCTGGCAGCTGACGGGGCGGCTTGGCAAGGACAATGCATTTCGACTCGACCCAGATCAAAACAGTTGGTAGAGCTCTTTGAAAACGGACATTATTCCTGAATTCAGGAACCACTGTATCCGGTTGATTAACATTATACCGAACGCACCCGCTTGGGAGTAGAGGATTCTCAATAGCCTCGGTCTGGCTCTCTTAATTAACGTCAATCGCACGACGCTTATCAGCTAGAACCATGGGAAGCCGGCGAATATTGTAGCCATTGTTTGACGTGGATACAACCACATTCAGATCACCGGGGGCCGACCGGATTCAACTGGCCAATGTAAGACTGAGCCGGGAAAGTCTCATGGTAGAGTTGTTGAAGGATGAGTTCGACTCTTGGTACCACTAGCTTGTGATATCAAAGACCTTATCAAAACCAAGGAATTTGGACACTTGCAATAAAGCTTGTTTCAGAAGAATATCGTCCCCGATATCAACAAACAGAAGGTTGTTAAAGGAGAGATGAGCCGTCTCGGAGAGAAGGTAGAACGCCGTGGACAGTGGGCCAAGCCAGTGTGAGCAAACAACTAAAATTTTGTTCGACCGAGACCGTTTACGCTGGAATCAGACGTGATGGCCTGTCCGAGGGGCCAGCTGCTGACATGAGCCAGTCAACGTCTTGAAGCTACAATATGAGTTTGTTCAATTGACCAGAAACCAACAATGGCCGATTTTCCGGTGGTTATGGAAGATCAATAATGATTTCGAAATGAAAAATGTTACCACAAGGAGTTTCCATTGCCCCTTCCAGTGCGTTAGTTCAAATATTATGGACGACGGGCCGGCAAGCCTGTCATTCGAATATAGTGGGTCACTTCCGGAGACGAACCGGAATACATTATGACGGGAAAAACGGGTCGACACCGACTGCATGGACCCGTGGGCGGTGGTGACGTCTGCGCAACGGAAGGTGATCGGAGACATAAAACGTAAAAAATAGAAAAAGGGGGATAGGAAATGAGGTAGTAGCATTTTTGGTCTATAGACATCCCCACCATTCGGCGTGTCGCACGAGCTCTATCTTGGCGCTGCTGTTGCTGTGCGCATCAAGTCTGGCAGCTGGCTTGAGCTCTATCGCGCGGGGTTTCGCGCTACAGTCTCGCCCTCGACTGGTGAATATTGACCCAGGCCTTGATGCAACTAGTGGTATGAGGCAACTATTGTTACTTGGGTCCTGTTGAGAGACGGACCGCGGTGCGAAGCATGGGTCCAGCTGTCTGCAGCTGTGCTGAGGTCAGCTTTTATGCTGTGGCAATAAACCACGAACTGCCTGCCGTAGGCGGGTTTTTATGCTGCTGAGCGCTTGGTGTGCCGTGCGCCACAAAATACCCCAAGCCAAACCCGCCGAGAATGCAAGCTCTCTCTCCCTTGTCCCCAGGAAGTGACTCGTGGAACGTTTGGCCGCGCTACGGACTCGGACCAAAATGTCCATGCCGCTCTGGCAGCGAGGCGCACCACGAGGTCAACCCCCAAATGTTATCGATACCAAGCCATTCGGACGCCCCCTACGCAGTCCATAACCAGGGGACTCCCCAACTCTGCTTTAACAATGACGGACGATTGGTCGAACGTTCCTGGCCGCCCCTCTTCGCGACCGCCCTGGATCCGGACTGTCGTGGGAGGAGATAGAAAAGGTACTCTCTTGCTCGGATAGGGGTATGGAGGCACTGAACGAGTCGCCAGGGTACATGGCTGCCTCGCCTCGTTGACTACGCTCGAAGCCCACACCGCAGTCGAGGGGGTACGCAATCCCTACAGGTGCTTTCGTATGTAAGTCATAATTACTGCCTGCCTGCTGCTGTCGCCGTACCACACCGCAGTCTTTTTACTTACGCATTGCCTCGCCCATCCTTCATCCCCGGAGTGTTTCTCCTCCTCCTCCTCCTCCTCCCCCTCCTCCTTCTCAACTCCAACTTCGGGTCGTTACCTTATTCTGACTGTCGGTGTTACCTAGGCCTGTTGACCAGAGAGGGTTGTTCAAGATGCCTGTACCAATCGCAGCCAAAGGTGAGTGATACATGCACTAATCATCCCTTGTCGCTGCCCTATCGCTTGTGTACTGCCCCCCTAATTCCCCCCATCTCTCCAAACACTGCCCGACGATCTCCTGTAGTGCTCTTTCTTCCTGTGCCCACCCTACCCCGCGTTGACCTTGTTGCGAATCACGTTACTTGTCTGAGGTGGTCAGGCCTGTGGCGAATGGCCTCCGGGATCAAGCGATCCCGACTCGTTCAGCGCGTGGCCAATTTGGAGCTTGAGATCCTATTATTTCTTGGGTCGACCTTTTTTCGTTGTCACACTGGACCAACCTGTTTTCTTCCCTTGACGCATCCCCGCCGTTATCTCCCAAGCCATCCGCGCCTACTACACCACACTTGCCCACCTGACGATGCCTCCCGTTAACAACGGTGCCTTGGCTTCAGCCGGCGTTATTGCTGTGTCTGTCGCCGTAGCAGCTGCCATTGCCATTTACGAGTCACCCGAACTTCGGCGGTATGCCGATGACATACGGAGGCGTATCGCAGTTGCACTGCATTCCCTGGGCGAGGGTATCGAGCCCGGCGACCGTCCGCCCATGTTCAACCGCCCTGAGGATGCCCAGGGGTTCCTAGAGTCCCGTGGAGGAGCCGACGCCGGCGTGGACGCCGATGACGAAACCCGCCGCCGCCAGCGCGAGGAACTGATGTACTGGAATGCCGTGCATCTGGCCAAGAAGGAGAAGGAGATTGTCGAGGCCGGGGCGTCCGGTTCGTCGGAGCGGCCGCCACCCGGGCCTACACGGGGCAGGTCTTTCGACGACTTTATGCGGCAGGACTACAACGGCGAGAAGGGATCTTTTATCTTCAATACGGGCGCAAACGTCTATGACGACGAGGGCCTTGTTCGTCGCCGCCCCGAAGGTGTCCGAGGTCTGAACTCCTCCCTTTATGCCAACCCATTTGCCGACGAGCACCAAATCGACCAGGACGAGCTGCCGACGTTGGAAACGTCGGCCCCCGTTTCTCCTGGCCGCGACGCGGCCGCGTCAGACATCTACAGTGTTACCACCCGTGACACCGACGAACCCCCTCGAGACATCGCCACCGCCGTCGCCACCCCTGCCCATATGGCTCCACTGGTCGACCTTGCCGAGGCCCCTTCAGAGTCCGAGAAGTCTACAACTCTCGATCGCGAGCTCGGTCCCGACGAGTACATGACTGCCGGCCAGGAAAACCGCGAAGAGGCCTATGCCTCCATCCAGGCATGGGCTCAAGGGTCCTCCACCGCATCCAATTTCTACTCCCCGCTGCCCATGTCGCCTCCCGCTCCGATGTCCGAGCCCGAGCTTGTCAGCGAAGGCGAGCTCACGCCCACCGACTCTGCCTCTCTCGTCGGCTCCGGCGAGCACGTTGCCGACGAGGCCGCTTCATCGAGGGCTGGCGACAACAGCCGCTACTACGACGTACTGAGTGAGAGCGAGGGCATGATGACCCCCGCGAGTTGGTCCGAGGTTGGCAGCGTCGTCAGTGAAAACGAGACTCAAGACGTGGCTCAAGCCGGTGCCCACACATAGCCTGTTTTCATTCGGTCCGGTGTGCTGCTTGATATATCACGGTTGAAAACCAGTCGACTCGCGGGAGGCTGGCGGCAGGCAAGGTATGGAAACGGCGTAAAAGGTTCAACAGTACTAGGAAACAGGGTATTCATAGATTTTATCTTTTGCTTAGGCGGCTGGGTTCATTATTATAATCAAGTTTTGTTTCCATATGTCTCTCATGCGTGATACGCATCGTCTTGGTACATTTCCCCGATGATATGACTGCAGAACGCCTTTCAAGCTTACGACAAACGGATGTGTCGCAAAGTATCATGCGATCACCCGGAAAACAATGGCAAATGTGGCATAGTTTCGACCGCTTACACAGGAACAACTTTTTCATCAGCAGCCCTGATCCTGTCCAGTCTGACATCGTCGTCGGATATATCGTCCTTGTTGACGATAACCGCCTCGTCATCCTTCATCTTGTTACCGTAATCTTTCCAAAGCTGTTCAACAGGCCTGCCCAGCAGCTCTGTCCAGAATTCCTTTTCCTTGTACAGCTGGGTGCGGAGCTTCTCGTTTATCCTCCTTACCGTGCCAGCGCCAAAGCGACTCTCGAGGTAGTCGAGAAAGTAGCCCGTGTGCTGGTACCCGCCGTCCCAGTTGCCACTCGCTTCGCGCTTCCAGTGAGGCGGACTCAGGTGTGCGTTGAGACGGACCCAGTCGGCAATGCCCTCGATTAGTCCACCCGGGCAGGTGCCACGGGCGTTGTACTGGAAGCAGTGGACCATCTCATGGGTGAGAACGCCCATGATCTCGTCGGTGCGGCGCTCGGCGGAGATGCTGGCGATGTAAGACAAGGAGAAGTGGATCTCTTTGTGGTCATCATCGAGATCAGAGCCCGTAGTGTAGGCGACGCCGTCCATATGGCGGAGAATAAGGGTGACGGAACGGGTTGACGGAACGTGAGTGGTGTGGCACGAGGGAGACTCGTAGAGCAGGGTCAGGACGGAGCGGACGGCGGTGGTAAGGGCGTTGCCAGCATTCACGGCGGAGAGAAAACGAACGGCGGCCGGGTCGTTGAGATCTCGAACCTCAAGGCGGAGCTTGGGAAGCTTGAAGTCTGGGGAAGGACGAGGATGGTCGGCAGCGGCAACGGCGGGGGCGGCAGGGATAGGGCTTTGCTGGACCGAAGACTTGGGACGAGGGGGCAGAGGGGTTGCCGCGGGGGGTCCTGAGGCCGGGGCTGAGGTCGAGGTCGGTGCCTCGGATGAGGTTGGTTCTGCGGTAGTGGCGGACATGGCTGGGAGAAAGAGAGAGATGGGACCTGGGTTTGGCGTCGTATCGGGTGGGAGGACCATCTGTTCGAGGCCTCGCTGGGGTTTTGAAGAGAATGATGATCGAGATCTGCCTTACGGATGCGGACTGAGTGTTCCCAGCATACCTAGGCAAGAGGTAGTGTCGGTGTATTTGGACCAGCACGTCTTCCGAGGATGAAAGCGTAAGACGGGTGGCTAAAGAGACAAAATATGTTCTAGGCCTACCTAGGCGAATCCTTGGTGGTACATAGGTGAAGGTGAAATGACCCGCTTCTGGAAGTCTAAGTCGGCAGAATAGAAGAAGAATGACGAACGGTTCTCTTTTCAGGAGGACCCTGTTCTAAGAACCTCCAACTGGAGCCCTTCCCTTCTCTCCCCTTCCCCTTGAGGCTAGGTAGCAGGGTAGGTAGGTAGGAGTCGGGACTGGGGGTGGGAACGTGCCTTCCCCGCGGCTACAGGGGTCAGGTCCTGGCCCCTGTCGCCAAAGGACCCACGCTCGCTCGCGATAAAGCGGATAAGCATCTAGCGCAGCTTCTCTTCGCGTTCACTAGCACCAAGGAAGTGGACCCTCGACCAATGGAATCGAGCCGAGCTTGTGGGTGCACGGGACAACCTGCGATGGGGATAGGTTGCCCCCTTTGTCTTTGTTTACTGCGTAATTATTGGGACGCCCAGAGCCTTTGGACATCATTCGCATCACAACAACCCGCACGAGCTGCCATATCTGCGCAATCCGGCCCAGAGTCTGCCGCCTTCTTTTGCACTGGCATATTCTTCCGTGCTTTTCAGCACCCGAGCCGCCTTTCACAAAATCGTAAGCTGCCTTCTGCCCTACGAGTTTCAGCCCACCACACCCCTCTCTTCCACATTGCGCTAGACGACTCATGCCCTCGCTGTTTCTCCTCGCTGTCGCTCACCTCGCCGGAGTGGCTAAGTAGTTGCGCAAATCCCTCTGCTCGCCCAAGCCGAGCTTCCTACGTGGGAACACCGGCAGAAACATCGACGCAGTACCGAGTAGCTGACCATCCTCTCTCATCGCACCAGGCCAAACCCAAAACAGAGCCCAACCATCGTTCTGCGGGGAATGGCGGAAAAAATCACAGAGGACCAGGTCAACGACCTGTTGAAGATCCTCCGCACCGATGCCAGCGTCGACCATAAAGTCCAGCATGTCACCGGCATCAAGTCCGGCATCAAACAGCACAATGTCCCTGATACCCTCGTCCCACTGGTCTTCGACGGCCTCCGCACCGCGTCCGTCTCGCCGCACGCCGTCCTTGTCAACGCCGGTTTCACGGCCCTCAACCACCTGCTGACGAGGCTCTCGAGGCAGGAGCCCAAGTATATCGCCAAGGAGGCCAAGCATACACTTCCCTTGGTCATTGACAAGCTGGGCGACCCCAAGGACAAGTTCAGAAGCCTTGCATCCCAAGCATTGACGACCATGTATGCTGCCGCGCCCATGGACGTGGAGCGCTCAGTGCGGAACGTCGCCATGGTTGGCAAGAACCCAAGAGCCAAAGAAGCCGGCATGCACTGGCTACTATACATGCATCAAGAACACGGTGTCCAGTTCCGCGCATATGTCCCGACTCTTATGGAGCTGCTCGAGGATGCTGATGGCATGGTGCGCGACGTCGCTAAGAGCACCGTCATCGAGCTGTTCAGGTACGACTCGTGGCCGTTGTTCCTCAACCCACGCTAATTGTTGCCATATAGACATGCCCCCAACACAGCCAAGTCCGACCTCAAGAGACAGCTGAAGAACTTCAATGTCCGCCCGGCGATCGAGCAAGCCATTGTCAAGGAGCTCGCGCCCAACACCGCCGAGCGGCCGAAGACGCCTGGATTGGAGGCCGCCGCCCCTATCGTCGCCCCCAAACCGAAGCTCGCCGCAAGTGTATCATCTGTCTCGAGCGAACGGCCCATCACACCGGCGCCGCCGCCCGAGGCTCCGAGTGAAGTGGACCCTGCATACGTCAACACCCAACGCGAACTGGACGATATCTTTAGAGAAATGATGACGTACTTCGAGGGGAAGGAGACCGAGCAGAATTGGCTGAAGCGCGAGGAGAGCATGACCAGACTACGGAAGCTCATTGCCGGTAACGTTCCGCAAGACTACTCGGACGCCTTCATGCTCGGCCTGAAGGGCCTACTGGACGGAATCATCAAAGCCATCACCTCTCTGCGAACAAGTCTTTCCAAAGAGGCCTGCAACTTGGTCCAGGACATTGCCATAACGTTTGGTCCCGGTATGGACCCTTTGGTAGAGCTTCTTATGCAGACTTTCATCAAGCTTGCCGCGGCAACCAAGAAAATTGCCTCCCAACAGGCAAACACCACGGTCGATATCATCATTGGCAAGGTCACATACAACTCGCGGATCATGCAGCATATTTGGGGCGCGTGCCAGGACAAGAACGTTCAGCCCAGGACCTACGCTACGGGCTGGCTCAAGACGATTCTGAACAAAGAGGCTCATCACAAGAGCCATATCGAGCATGGCGGTGGTCTGGAACTTGTAGAGAAGTGCATCAAGAAGGGTCTCAACGACGCGAACCCCGGCGTCAGAGAGCGTATGCGCGCTACTTACTGGGTGTTTGCCAAGATCTGGCCAACAAGGGCGGACGTGTAAGACGGGATATCTGTCTCAAAAGTAAATTTCTTACTAACGAATCTGCAGGCTCCGAGATACTCTCGAACCAACAGCTCAAAAGCTTCTGGACAAGGACCCCAACAATCCCAACGCCCCCAAGAGGGAAGTGGACAGCGTCCGTGCAAATCCCGGCCTTGGCTTGTCCAAAAGTACTATGGGCAGTAGCAAGCCAAGCTTGCGTGAAACTATGATGGCACAGAAGAAAGCCACAATGGCGGCATCCCGAAACCTGCCTCCCCGTCCCGGATCTGCGATGGCTAATCTCTCTCCGGTGCGGCCACAACAACCAGCACCAAGCTCGTCTTCGACCAGCTCGGCGCCCGCATCGAAGCCGACGGCGTCTGGTGGCATGTCCGTCCGTCCTATGAGACCCACCAAGAAGCGCCCGGAAATGGCTGCAAGACCGGCGACAGCCGGTCCCTACTCCGTGCGGACCCACGATGGTCCTTCGGCCGAAGCCCCGAGTCCCGAAAGCCTCAAGTCGAAGAGTGTGACACCAAAGTCGAAAACTGATGCGTCTCCGCGAAGAGCCGCTAGCAGACCGCGTGCTGCGACATCTCACGCCAATGGCCCGCATGTTGCATCGCCTAGCGCGGCCAAGCCAGCGCTCTCGAAGTCGGTATCCTCGCCTCGTGCATCGCCCCGGTCTGGTCCCGCGAAGGCCAAGAGGTCACAAACCACGATGCCTTGGAGCAGTCCTACTAGGGAGAACGAAGATCTCACATTGGTGGTGCCAAGTCTCGACAGTTTGAGATCGCTCTCGGGAGATGTCCCCGCAAAAGCTTCGCCGCCAGTTGTAATGCAAGGACCGGCGAATATATCTGTGGAGATCCCCTTGCCCGAGACGGAGCATGCAGCAGAGCCTACACCAGAGTCGACGCCGGAGCCTGCTGAGCAACCTCTTGCAGAACCCGAGGCCGAAGCACCGGTTTTAGAACCACAGGAAGCGTCTGTAGAGGAGCCTGAGGAGACACCTGCGGATGTAGCTGTGGAGGCTTCGGCTGAGGAGGCACCAGCTCCCACGACTTCTGTCAAGGAGGAAGTGGCTGAGCCAGGATCCGCCCCTTCCAACGGTCTTAAGGTGTTTGAGGACCCCTTCGTGGACGACAAGACGACCGCCAATGCAAATATCATCGTTCCAGTGCTGGAGGATAAGGCTGTGAACGAGGTTTCCGCTCCAGCAACCAATGGCCACTTTGACGTGAACGGCACCCTCGAGACCCCCGAGAAGGCTAGTCAGACTTCCAAACTTCTCGATAGTGGCGTGACTAGAGTCAAGGCAAAGTCTCTAGATGTCCACGGCTTCAGGAAACTGCAAACCATAATCAAGGACAATAAGGCCGTTTTCACGGATGAGAAATTTGAGGCCCTTCTCTGTGGGCTTTTTGAGTATCTTGAGGCCCCCCTCGAGAACCTTGCGCCGGAGAGGGTGCAGGATGTCAAGGCCCAGATCCTTGCGACGATCAAGCTTCTGCTCAAGAAGGAGCGAGACAACTTTCAGCCCCATGTCTCAAGAGGCCTTGAGTCCCTTGTCGCAACACGCAGCGCCTACGATGCGCGTACACGCATCGTTAGCGGTCTTGAGCTCCTTGCCGAAGAACTTGTGGCTCTTGGTGACCCGCATGAGATTGTCGTAGTCATGGTCAAGCTTCTGCAAAGTAAGCAAGATTCGTCGATCGAGGGCAGCCGCTGTCTTGCCACAGGCCTGCACGTGCTGAAGGAATTACTCGACAAGCGTACCGGTTTCACGGCTTCGGAGGGCGAGCTCGCGCAGATGGGTGGTCTTGCCGGCCGATGTATCGAGTCGACTGACTCTGGAGTGCGCATGGGTGCTGTCCAGCTCTGCGTGGCGTTGCACTCGCGTATTGGTGACGGGCCGTTCTGGGAGCTTATCAAGGGCGCCAAAGACGACCCCAAGAACCTCATCACGTACTACATTGCGAAGAAACAAAGGGAGAGCAGCGCTGTTGCCACCTAAGTCGCACAGACGAATCAGGTCATCCGTACGATATGGGGACGGGTCTTGGACGCAGCAGGAGTTGGAATTGGGTGCTGGGGCGGCGGGTGAAATGGATAATACCTCGAGGCCTCAAAAGCAAACGGAGTTTTGTCGTTATTGGCTGGGAAAGGAAGGGAGGGGTGGGGACTAAGCTGTATACGGGAAGGCAACGTATTTTTTTGGTTTTGCGTAGATTTCGAACGCCTTTCTTGTATTGCCTTTTGTAATGGCCCGGCATAGCTGCGCACTGTACCAACACCTATTTTATTCCAATGGATCGATCCACTTTGTCTCAGCTGTCAAAAAAAATTGGCCCAGAGGTCTTGCGATGCCGTCTAAGGAAGTTCGGGGAGTGACCCACTACGGCCCGGGACCGGCTCCGAGGACTCAACACCGGATCGGGGCCCAGCTTGGGTAGCCCCAGGATCCGCGACGGCTGACTGAACCTCTGCTTCCTTGGGACAAGGCGACCTCTGAACATCCGGGCACGATGGATCACGTACCGCCAAGGTGTCAATCAACCCGACTGACGAGTTTGGTGGTACTCACGCTATAGGGCGTGACAGGCTCACTTTCTAGACATGCTCAAGCAAGCAAGCACGTGCCCCACGCATTCTGGTCTTACACCCTCTTTCATCAGACGCCCAGCCGCAGCCGCCTAAGCCGGACTGGGCTGGACTGGCACTTGGGGCGACTTGGTCGGTGGCCCGTGGTGGTGGGCTCAAGAGGCGGCCCCCTTACCCCCTCCCTATCTGAATCAGCAGACGCGTTGGCCTGTTTTATTTTTGGCAAGTAAGGAGTGAGGGACGAGGGGGAAGTGCAACAGAAGATCAGCTAGAGGACCGGGTTTGTTATTTGAAGTGCATGTAGTTTCGAGAGAACTGAGTGTTAGCTTGACAAAGGCCGTCTTCAAGCCGGGACTGGTATGTTTGTGCTACCATTGAAACTCTTTCTTTTAAAGGTGAGTTACTGACCAAGAGACCAAGAGAGAGAGAGAGAGAGAGAGAGAGAGAGAGAGAGAGAGAAAGAGAGAGCATTGATGGTGATGCATGGATGTTGCCAGAAACAGGATGTGGGCTTCCCCGGATCGTACTATGTATAAGGAATTTGGGTTATATGCCCGGGATGGGACCGGGGTGTCCCAGTATAACACTCTTGACGTGTGTTCCGTCAGCGGCGAGTGACGCAGGTATAGTGTTATGTTTAGTCTTCTAACAGCCAAGCGCGTCAATTGTCTTTTGGGTCAAAGATTTGAAATGCGGCGGCACCGGCAGTCGAATGCTCGGCTGCATGCAGGAGCACATCGCGGATCTCGAATGGGCGGACAGGTGGCCGGGGGGTGGGGCCGGTTGATGACTTGGGTCTGGAGTGGTAATTGGGGTGGCTAGTCGCTTGAGAGATGGCCGTGCTAGGTAGTTGATGTCGGCTCTAGGACCTGCACGAGTTGTGAGCGGGCCGATTACTCTAGATCCAAGAGAGGTTGACGAATGGTCTCGGGGATCCTGGAAGACGGCCTCCGAGTGACTCTATAGGGCTCGCGAAGTACTAGTTATTTCGCAAATAGATTGGAGCTAGCGCTTGCCAGGTTTCCTCGAAATCCCCATCCGGTTGAAGGGCTAAGCGTGCTCCGCCTTGTGTTTACAGTTTGCCGACTTCATGCACAACTCTGGCGATGGTCAAGGCCCTCTAGAGAAGGCGGTTCGTGATTGACTGGCTTACTGACTGGGATCGACAGGCCGATTGCCTGGCATAGACAGCCGGGAGGCCAGGATGTGCCTTGGGGGAAGTGCTCTGGAATGCTGCGGTGTCGCAAGGGACAGCACAACAAGTCAGCAACACGTCTGACGAAGCCGAGGAGAACACGCAGTCTGCCGCGGCGTCGCGTTGGCCTCATCGACCACTAAGCAGCTGGAAAGCAAAGGAGGGAGGGAGGGAGGAGCGACGGCGGGTGCGGCGGATCCATATTGAAAGCTTGACATGGAGGAGATGCTTGTCATCGTAGATTAAAGGTCGAAACGAATGGGCGTCCGCGATCGAACGATTGGGGGGACCGATGGTGATTGGCATTGGATGCTGCCTTGGGATTAAGTTGGGCCGAAAGGAGCCACTCGAAGGCGAACAGTTCAAATTAAAACGTCGCAATCTGGTATCAGAGAGACGTCGAAAGTGTTGTATTGGAACCGAATTACAGGCCCTCCAGCGAACGGACATGGGCTGAAGCAAGCGCATTAGTGGGCTGGTTCACGGTAGTTCTACCCTCTTGCCGGTTGACTATCCTGGCTGGGGAGTCGGCAGTCACATCAGCATGGAACCAAAAGGGGAGCGTATGGGCTAGAAGGAACCGGGATGCCATGCTTTGATGCGCGGCGAGCTCGGCAACGGGGTGAGAAAAAGTCGCTCAGATGATGTTGCACAAGATTTCTGCTATCGCCAAGCACATAAACAGGGGCGGGACCGGACTGCTGTTTTTGGCGTTTGCTCCAGGAGGGCTCAATCTTTCACGAGACTAATAGGACGGCGATAGGTTAGAGACGTGATCAACGCCGTCTGAAGGCCTCCGGTTTCAAGTGTATGGAATAGACGTAGAATCCGCATAGGGCGTGCTTGGTTATTGTTGTAAGCTGTAGCAAGTGAAGGGAGTGCGTCCGATAATGGGCAATTTGGCCATGCAGTCTCGGTCTACTGTATCTATCAATCCTTCTGTGCCACTAGGTAGAACAAGGCGTAGGCGAAGAGCAGCAGCAAGGAAGCTCGCTGTACGAAGAGCGGTGTGCCTGTAAGCCCCTTCCCGGAGCTGACGGCGTCAGTGCTGCTCTCTAGCCGGGTGTCCCAGGACAGCTGCTGTGGTACCGAAAGTGAGGGGTTGGGCAGCGTGCCAATAGCGACCAGTTCACCAATAAAGGGTAGGTTGCCACGATGCAACTTGAGTGCGTAAGCTCGGTGACAAGTTGGCGTGACGAGATTTCGATTTTGAAACGAAGGCGGGGAAGCTGGCGAACCACGCCGTCGAGCTGTAACTAGGAGTGGCACATGCCACCAGGCGTTTGGGAACCACTGACAGCGTTAACAATTGATGGTGATCAAGGCTGAGCAGTGCCCGAAGATCAGGGTAGGATTTGGCTGATGTCGATGGTTGCTATGCAGGTAGGGAGGGTACAGAGAACCGAGGCATTGGTAGCGAATCTTGGCCACATAGACATAGGTATTCGACTCCAGATCTCTCTGGATCTCGAAAGTCGAAAGTTGTAACTTGTAGGCCGGGACTACCCTCACAATGCCCGATGACGTTTCGTGATTGGGGCACAGTCAGATGGAGTGGTGAAGACGCCTCTTCAAGAATATTACGGATAATCAACGGATCCACGGTCACTTGAAATGCTGCTCCCGTGCAACAAGCACACGTACCTGTGTCTGAGAATTACGAATGACGCACGATGAACAACAGGACGCCATCTCAAGTTCAGCTGCGGTGCTGCACAGCTGTGCTCGCAATTTTCAGGTTAGAGAAGTTCAAGGGTAAGTAGTCGGGGTCTCGGAGGATCGACTGCATGGATATCCAGATGTGCGCTGTTGCGGTCTCGTAGCGGAGACTGTCTAGTTGAAACAGTAGCCCCGAATACCCATTGGTGCTCCCACGTCTTGCTATCTCATCTAGATGAGGTACGTACCGCGGCAAGTGCCTGGGCAGCCGAGACGAGAGTACCTAGGGCATACCTAGGTACCTACCTATACCTACCTATCTAGACTGAGCACGCAGTACGGTACGTACCCCTCTTGCATTACCCCTGGCTCCATCACTTGTTGCCGTTCTCGTCGTCGTCGACGCAACTGGCCATTGTTGCCGCCGCATGGTGCACGCTACACTGCACTGCGCGTACTAGACTGATCCCTGCAGGCCTTCTGCTCCCTGTTCTGCTTCGTCTTGAGGCATGCACAAGGCGGCGTATCAATACTGGCCGGGACATCGCACCAACACAGAAAATTAAATATCCGTAAGACGCTCGAATGACAACAACCGATATCATTCGTCCATTGCCCAGTGTATGATGAGCGTTAAAATTTGCTTCAGCGATCACAGGCATTGTGTTCTCCGTTGGTAGGAGCCAAAGACGCTCTGCCCCTGGCAGCGCTAGCAAATTACCTCCGACATCCATCTCGACTGGTTCGTGTCAAACCCAGAACCGCCTCAACAGATACCATACCGGTGTGACAGCCATGGCTCGAGCTCCGGCAACCAATGCGGTTTGCTTCCAACCGTCGTGTGTCAAGTCTGTTTGTGTTGACGGCCAAGCACCAACGCATCAGCACATGGGCTCAGCAAGAGGAACGCCAAAGTCTTACAAGTTACCGTGCTATCATGTCGATGCTGATGTTACACCAATCTCTTCACTAAGAGGCCTGGTCGGTCTCATAAGCCTCGACCGTGCCTCAGCTGGACCTGCAGCTAACGGGGAAAAAAGAGACGTTCCGCTAGATGCCGCCGTCTAGGCACGGCTGCACAGTATTCATAGGTCAAGGTTGCGAGCCTCGCCTCCCGCAGGCATTCCACAAAAAAGCAAACCCCCGATCGCATTCCGTTCCAAACGCAGCGCCCCTTTCATTACCGCGCCACTGTCTTCGCCTGGCGTCGACAGCTGTCCGTCACTTAGCTGGCTGGACACCGTTGTTGTGTATTTGCGCTCGCTGATTGAGCACCATACACTGTGGATAGGCCGTGGCGATCTTTGCTGTATAGCCACATAGGCCCGGCAGCCATCATCGAGGAGCCAAGGGAAAAGACGGGCATGCTGCTGCTGCTGCTGCTGCTGCTTTTGTGCTGTCGCAGAGCGTGCACCAATGGCGTCGTCACCACGCTCCCAGATATCGCCGCTCTCTCTTGATCCTTATTAGATGGGCCTGCGAGTGTGGAAGTTCCTAGATGTACCTATCAAAGTCCCTTGCTCATGGCACTCTGCCCCTACCCACCTCATCCCATCAGTCGGGAGATTCAAGACTGTTGCCAATACGAAGTTGCAATTTCAGCGTGGATACGCGAAATCAGGCTTATAAGAGATACGGGCGCTGTCACGAGTGCACTTCTGCATCGGGCCCGGGTTGAGAATGAAGTCGACGACTATGCGAGTGCCAAGTGTACTAGGTAGGTACAATAGTTGTGCTAGATGCCACAGGCAGTCCAGCCGGGATTGCCTGGCTTACCTTAGGGAGGTACCTAGGTAGCCCAACGTACCTATCTAGCATAGCATGTTTGTCGCAGCATTGCCGTGCGATGCTTTTCCTCTTGCTGCAGGCTGACCAGCCAAGCAAGCACAGAGACAGGTCCCTGACAGGATTCTCCCGTGTCAATGGGCTCCCGCAGCCAGTGAGGAAACTGTGGTGCCTGGCGGGAAGCCAGAGCCACCCCCCTTTCCACTCGGTTCCTCCACTTTGCTGGGAATCGAAATAACCTCAGCGATTAGCAGAGAGAAGGGGGGGTTGCGTACCCTAGTGAATAGGTAATGTATGAAGTACGGCTAACTACTTACCCAGCCTACCTTAGATAGGGTACGTACAAATTACTTCAGTTGAAGGGGCTCCACTCTTTGTGCCACGCCACAGACAGAGCGAACTCCCGAGTCTTCTCCATCTCTGCTCTCGCGTTCCGTTCACAGCCAGGCTGTGCGTTGGCCGTATCCGTATCTAACGGACGATGTTGCGCTGTTAGATGTTAGAACAGAAGAGAACAGTCACAACCTGGTCTTTCGGGCTGCCCTACGAAGGTACAGTGTACCGACACTCTGCGACTCCCCGCGTGTGGCCGGGCAAGGTACGTGCCCTAGGTGCTCCATCACGTAGGTAGCCTAGGCACCTAGGTAGGTAGGAACCGGTACGTACGGAGTGCAATGTACCGGTACCCTGCATGTCTGATGTCTCTAACACAAATCGATACCACGAACATTATTTGGGGTTCCAGGACAGGACAATCCCGTCGTCGTCTCATCCTTTCACAACCCTAAAGTCAAAAGATGTGTCTCGGCTGAGCTGTCGTGTTCTCGAATACTGGCCAAGGGGGAAGCCGTCCAAGACGATTGAGGTCAGGCTGGTGTTTTGGCAAAGACTCGTGGCCGTACTGGAGTATACCATGCATGTGGCAACGTCGTCATTGGTCATGACTGGCAGAGTCTTTAGACTGTATACCTATCTAGGTACCTAGGTAGCAAGTCCAGTGATCTACCTAGGTAGTCACCGCAAGACAAAGGCGAGGTACGACAGGCATGCCTCCAGCTCCTCTCCTATCCTCCGCACGGCATCCACGCCGCATATCTGCCCATTTTTCCGTCCGCGTCCCGTCCGTCCAGCCCCGTTCCAGTCTCAGTCCCTATCCTAATCCCCCCAATTCCACCTCCAGTCTCGTCCAGAGTCTCCCCCCAAATTCCACTTCGACTTCAGCCAAGTACCACCGCCGCCACCACCATTACCATCATCTCTTTTTCTCCTTCTTTCCTATACTAATCTGGCCGTCTATATCAAATCCATCCTGACGACCGCCTCTGTTGTCTCTTGTCGTACGCGTTGGCCGCACCTTGCCTTCCGTACACCCTCCCCTCCCGACTGGCAATAACGGTAACAGGTACCTACCTACTACCTTACTGTGCCCCTACAGCAGGGCCCGCGCGCCGCCGTCGTCCACTGGCACGACCCCTGTCATCATTAGACAGGCCCTCCCATCAAACCACTCTTGTACCTCTCCTTAGGTATCGGCCTGGACCATACGCTCCCTCCTGTTCCTACTCCCTACCCTCGCTGCTATTCGAGGACAGTACTGCACGATCTAGCCAGGGCTTGCCATAGTCTCGCTCGCCCTCCACGTCGCCGTCACACCTCTTCATTGTTCCCGACTATTCGACCGTCCAGGTCTGATCAAAATCCCCAAACTCGACAAACCGGCGCCAGCTTTGCTCTTGCCTCGTCTGCGGGATCAAGGCCTAGTACACAGACCCTGCCGGCTCTACAACTCACCTCGCCCTCACTTAGCTACTAACCCTTACCCTGCTCGTCGACGCCGTTTTTTTCTTCCTGCCCCCCATCGAGACCTCGAGCACAACCATCGTGCCCACGTCCCTCGACGATTTGCCTCGAATCCTCCCAAACGAAGCCAACCGAGCGCTACTACGACAGCACTAGCCAAGCCGCTCGCTACTACGTTCAATTTTCCATCCCCCCTTTCATCTGTTCGACTGGCCGCTATCGCAGCCTCGAGCACACACGGACGCCCCTCGAGCGCCACCCATTCGACCCTACGCTGTCCCGACGTACACGCCCATCCTGTCGACCATCTGGCACGAGACGCACAGCCTGTCGACCCTCCCCCCCCTTGTCGTCCATGATACGGCTCACTAGAGTCGATCCTTGGCTCACATCGTCTTGCTCCCGACGTTACGTTCATGACAGGCGCCCAAGTCGTCCTCGTCGTCGCCATCCTGCTTGCTAGATAAGTGTCGTGACAGTGTCCTGCAATAGAAGAGGACGCCCTCGATATGGCTGCCGTCATGGAGGACTATTTGGAGAGCCCAATGGAACAGGACGACGTTTTCCCATGCAAAGGTTGCGGAGAGGTAAGGACGGTCCGCCCCGTCAACTTCTCGACTATTCTCCAAGCACGTACTGACGGCGGTGCTCTATCCGACTAGATCCTCGAGGAGGGCAAAGCGTTCGAGCTCGGTATGTCTGCCCGATTTTCTCTCCTTCACCTCTCCCTCGCCCGCATTCTCCCCAGCCTCTCTCTGCTCTGTCCAGCATCTTCTGGCTTCATCGTGCCGTTATGCTATCTCCAATGGCCCTGCCTTCGGTGGTCTCCAAGTTCAGTCAAACTAATCAGTCTCCTCCACCTTCAGCCGGGAACCGATGGCATCTCAACTGCTTCCGCTGCAACACCTGCGGCACCCTCCTGGATTCCGATGCGAACCTCCTTCTCCTCGGCGATGGCTCGCTTATCTGCAACAACTGCACCTACAGTTGCAGTGCCTGCAACAACAAGATCGAAGACCTTGCCATCCTTACCGGCGACCAGGCCTTCTGCGCAACATGTTTCCGCTGTCGCAACTGCAAGCGCAAGATTGAGAACCTGCGATACGCGCGGACATCACAAGGCATCTTCTGCATGAGCTGCCATGAATCGCTCATGGCAAGACGGAGGAAGAAATCGAAAGCGGCAGCGCAAGCCAAGTCAAAAGAGAAGGACGCATCCCCTATGATCACGGACAAATCGTTACCCGCGCTGCCGCCCAACGCCGTCCCTCCCAATGCTTTCCACGATACCCGAGTTGATCCCGACTCAGACAAGGAGACACCCACTGAGCTGTCCCCCCGGCCGCGTCCGGCTTACAGTAGGAACGACTCGTCATCAAAGAGTAGCGGTCGCCCATCGCGCTCGCCTGAGCGTACCTCGGAATCCACCAAGGACAGTAGCGGTTTGGGCCTGCCCCCGTCAAATTATCGTAACAACCGTAACTCTGGCATGTACGCCCCGAGCGGCAATAACAACGGCGATGTCAACAGCGGCGACGACGGCTTCTTTATTCCAGTTGCTCTGGATCATACGCCAGCCTCGAGCGCGACCCCACGATCCACTTCGGAGAACACATCGAGTGCGCCCAAGAAGCAAGACAAAGAATACTTCACTCTGCCTCGGGCCAGCACAGACAAGAAGGGCGACTCCCAGTCGCCAACCCCCCATATTGCCTTCCAGGAGAAGGGCCGACAACCGTCGGTCGATTACGAGTCTGGAAACATCAAGCTGCCCCTGCGCAAGACGTCGAAATCGTCTAGAAATGACAACCGGTCGTCGGTTATGAATGATGAAAGGACGCAGAAGGTGACCACTGGCAAGCTCTCGCCGTCAATTGACGAGTTCAAGCTGCAGGACGCGCCCAAGAGTAAGAAGCTTATCAGCCCGAGACGCGCCTCTCACTCGGCCGTCATGACCCCGGAAAGTGGCAGCGCCAGGAGTAGCGAAGGCGTTCTTCGCAGGGACAAGGAACCTTTTCCGAGCTTGGCTTCGTCCGAATCACCTCCCCGCATGGGCGGTGGGACAACTAGATCGTCCCAGGATTCGAGACAGCGCGATGAGGGCGAGGTGCGCCCCTCGTTCGACTCCATCTCCTCCTCGCGAACAGACACGACAGCTGGCAAGTCCATCACCCGCAAGGAGCTGCCATCTTCGCGCAGTGGTAGGTCATCCCCGTGTCCGTGTTTTATCGTGATGCAAGACGCACCGACCCTAACCTTCTTTTCACAGCAAACGGCAAGCCTGGCGGATCTTTGCATCGATCCGCTGCAAACGATGAGACAAGCTCGCCGGGCCTCTCCGTTGCGCGCCCGAGTATGACTGAGCACAAACTCAGCGATACTTATATGCAGCCTCGAGCGCCGCCTCAACCGCCTGGGGTGCCCGCGAACACCCCCAAACCTCCAGCAAAAGACGCAAAGGATCAGACGAACGTTAACGAAGAAGGCAAGGTCTCCCCCAAGCTACCGAGATGGAGCGCGGGTGGCGATTTTAGTATGGACGAGGACATGGCCAGAATTCTCGGCACCGACGAAGGTTCATCATCCATGATGCGCCGCGTGTCAAACGCTGTTCGTCACGGTCGCACCAACAGCACCGAAGGCAGCCATACTCAACATTCCCACAGAGTCGCTGGCCACGCGCGGAGTATCAGCGAAACCACTCGTGGCACCTCATCGCCTCGTTGGCCCAAGACGCCCCTCGTCGAGGACCCCAACGGGCACGAGCTCAGCAGTCCCGTCTCCATTCACTCGAGCGACGACCCAGCGGTCCTTAAGCGGCAGCTGCGTAGCTCGGAAAACCGTGTCGCTGAACTAGAGAGACAATTCACCACCGAGAAGGACCTCAAACGATTGAACAAGACGCTTATTGAAAAGCGCAAGACGGTCTCGGTACTGGACACCCAGACTGAGATTATGATTCGTCAGCTCGAGGTCTTGGCCGGATACGTCGAACGCGCAAAGGAGACAAAGACACCCGTCGATCCCCGCGACTTGGAAGAATCTGCCATCAAAGAATTCGTACAGAAGCTTGACAAGGTCAAGCAGACGATGAGCGCAGCGATTGAGCAGCTCCATGCCGAGCGTGACGAGCTACTCGATGAGAAGAACCAGGCCGTCGCCGACAGAGACCGCGCCCTCTTAGAATTTGAGCAGCTCTCGTCCAAGAACGCCCAGCTCGCCGACATGAACAACGACCTGACACACCAGATCCAGGAGCGGTTCAAGTCTCAGATCGGCGGCGAACTCAAGTCGCCCAACGGATTGGGCATCTACAGTCAGAGCAAGGTGTTCTCGTCTTCTCAGCTGAACTTGACCGATTCTACCAGCATGGCCACGACTCTGATTCATGAGGCAGATGAGCCCGTGGTCGAGGCTAGGCCGACCGTAGTCGACATCAGAAAGGGTCAGGTCAAGAAGTTCAACTGGAAGAAGGGCTCAAAAGGCCTGGCACAGAACGTGGCCAAGGGCGTCAACCGTGCAGTTGTGGCATTCCAGCAGGAGCGCGAGCGGGGCCCGCATCAGGGCTTGACCGGCGACAACATCGGCCTGCCGTACAATATGACAGTCTCCCAAGTGGAGGGCCCCATTACCCCAGCGCCTGTCGCCGCCCCGAAGGGCTCGCAACAAGCAGTTGACCGCCAGGGTTTTGGCTTCTTCAAAAAAGGCAGCAACCAGAAGTCCATGTCCTCGACCAATATATCGACGCCCGCCATCGCAGAAGCGGCCACTACGTTGTTTGGTTCCGACCTCACCGAGAGAGCCGACTATGAACGTCGTACCATTCCCAGCGTAGTCACGCGCTGCATTGAGGAAGTGGAGCTTCGTGGCATGGACATTGAGGGCATCTACCGCAAGACAGGCGGTAATTCGCAGGTGAAAATGATCCAAGAAGGATTCGACAAGAGCGAGGATTACGACATTTCAGACCCTGGCCTTGACATCACTGCAGTGACAAGTGTGCTCAAGCAGTACTTCAGAAAGCTTCCGATGCCCCTACTGACGTACGAAGTGTATGACAGAGTATTGGAGTCAAACGGTACGTTCTCCCACACAAACTTGCATCTTCCGTCCTAACACTCCGCAGCTCTCACCGACCAGACCGAACGCTGCGACCACCTTCGGAAGGTGTTCAGCTCTATGCCCGAACGCCACCGCGACTGCCTTGAGTTCCTCATGTTCCATCTCGCGCGGGTGGCCCAGCGAGAGCCCGAGAACTTGGTAAACTATGCCGTGCTCGTACCATGTTGTGCCACAGCGCTAATAATACATCAGATGTCGCCCAAGAACCTGGCGGTTGTGTTTGCTCCGACCATCATGCGTGATACCAGCCTGGAGCGAGAAATGACAGACATGCACGCCAAGAACCTGGCCGTCCAGTTCGTCATTGAGAACAGCCATACCATCTTTACTGACTGAGCACCCCGCTTGGATGGTTCAGTATGAATACGGAAACCACCCCTGTACATATCGACACACCCACGACTTTACTCCTTCGGTCGCATTTTTCCTTCAACGGCTGATTCGGAAAAACTTATCCCACAGCCGATGGCCCATGACTTTATGCATTTGAATTCAAACATATTCGAAGCCAGCCATGACCGCCACAGAAGGGAGGCAGGGTAGGGAGGCTTGATCCTTACCAGGAAACTTTAATGAGATATCCAAATTTCTTGCTTCGGGGCACGATAAGGTGTTTCTTGGTTCTCGAAGGCGGGTTTGGGAATCAGGACCGACAGGACGGGCCTACATTCGTTGCGGGCGCGCTTTTCGCCATCAGCCATTGGGATCCGAGTCCCGGGGACGATTTGATATGTGGCGAATTTGGTAGTTGAATAATAGAAATGGAGAAAGCAGGGCTTGGGGTGGCGGGAGCGAACGTCTATCGGACGACGAACGAGAATGAAGCTGGCGGCATGCATAGTAGGGTGTTTGCGCATCGAATCATCGAGAGCGGGTTTCCCAAGGTTTAGTGACGCTGCAAATATCTAGCAAGACGGTTCGGCCGTCAATTCTTTCTGAACAAAGTCTACCAAAACTTTTATAGCCCCTCGCGTCCATCCATATATGGCCATGTAATTCATGCATGTGGTATCAAACGATATGTAAAAGGAGCCAGCTGATATCCCCGACACTTTTGTCGTGACCAACCAATCCACGTGCGAGCGTTCTCCGGCGCGCCTTCTTTACCCACTAAGCAAGGCACTGCCTCCCTACTCACCTCGCCTCCCCTCCCCACCTTCACTTGGAGTCGCCCACGATGCGCTTCACCTTCTCGAGCAGCAGCGCGCTCTCCCTGCCGAGGCGGCGCTGGCCGTCCTGGCTGCCCTTGCGGGCCTTGGCCATAGCGCGGCGGTACCGCTCTCGGTCGGCCATCTTGCGTTCGCGCTCCTCGCGACGGCGCTGGATCTCGGCGCGGCGGGTCTCCGCCTCGGCGCGCTTCTGCTCGGCGTGGGCGAGCTGCTTCTCGTAGTAGCCCGGCTTCCGGGGGCGGCGAGGCTTACGGGGCTCGTAGCGGTCCGCGGCATCGGCGACGTCCCCAGTGCCGTCCGAGGCGGCAGGTGCAGACGCGGTGCGCGTGCCGGGGAGTTCGGCGTTGGAGCCGGTGGCGGTCGCTGCGCCGCGTCTGCGCTTCACGGCCACGGTGTTCGGGTTCGGGAGCTCGCCGTCGTTGGTAATCATCTCGGCGCGGGAGGGATGGATCTCCCCCTCGAGCGGCTGCGCCGGTGTCGCGTCTGTCGGTGATGACAGACCCAACGTTGCTGATGTCGGTGCCGCCGCCGCTGCTTCTGCTTCTGTTGATATTACTGGTGTTGAAATTGGTGAGTCGGATGTCTCCTTAGCGGTTTGAAGTTCCTCGACGTCGTCGATTCTGTCGTCGCTTGATGCCCCCTTTGAGGCCTCCTCTGTGGACGGGCCAGCGGCGACGGCAGCAGCAGTAGCAGGCTGCCGGGCTTTGGATGAAGCCTGCGAGGCGAGCTCCCTCTCCTTGATCTTGGCGTAAGCCTTTTTGACCTTAGCCTTGTGGATGAGCTCCAGCTTTTTCCTCTCGACTATGGGATTTGTGTTAGTGTACGTGAAGCGGCGTGGCTGCTACAGGCAGCAGGGAGGAGGCAGCGGCGCTCACCCTTTCTGCGCCATGGTCCCTCGGGGAGGTTATCGGGGCCAACGCGGAAACCCTTGCGCTTCTTTGCCTGCTGGGCATCCTTGGAAGACGCCGCTGCTACGCCCTCGGCGGCGCGTTTGGGGGCCATGGTGAAAAGAGTCTGGGGAGGTTTCGTCTGAGATGGCGAGGATGAGACGGCGAGTGTTGAGGTTGGGCGATGAGAGCACCCAGAGGGCCAGGCACCTTGGAGAGTGAGCCGCTTGTCTACCAAAGCACCGGATTTGTGATTGGATGTGAGCCGTACAACTTTTTCCTCGATGCAGGTGGCCGTTGTTGAGTTCAATATTTGAGTCAGGTCTGATGGACGTGAGACGTCGTCAAGTGTACATGTAAATGGGCGGGCAATCGAAGGAAGATGAAATTTTTGGTGGGTCTGGTCGGGATGAGAGAGAGTGGATGAGAGAGTGAGACGAAAACGGGTTAGCGCTTGGTCCCGCCTTTTACCAGTTGGTGGACGGACGGACCGCGTCGCATGTTGCGGATCACCCCCTCACAGCTTCGTCAACCAACATCCTAGAAACGTCTTCTCAGGCTCGCGCCTCAGATACACGTCTTCTTGACTGAGTGTTGCTGTTTATGCCGCGCTCTTACATTAGCTATTTTACGGTCGGCTGAGCAACTTTTAGCTAGTGCCTACTCCCCTCATTTTGCTCCCTGCGTCCAATGTCGTTTTCGAGTCTATCCAGACGTGGCCCCCCGTTATCTCAGAAACCACAGGTAAGAGAGAGCGTCTTGACTTCTATCAACAGTGTCTGATGGCACTGGATTATTCTTGTCTACTGTGCGACGCGGACTGGATGTCATCATAAGGTAGGCGACTCGCGAGTCGAGACAGGCCAGGAACTGCCAAGTACGGGCCGTCTGTTCAGTTCAAGTCTTCTTATTCTTGGATAACAAGAGCTTGCCCAGTGAAGCTCAATAATGGAAGAAAGGACGTAAAACCGGATCTTTGACTCTGGGTTGACCTAGCGCCCTTCTACCAGGTGAAGTCAAGATGACTTCTCACGGATGCCTGCCCTGTCTGCCACTAACCAGCAGCCACAACAAGCCTTTGGTTCTTGTCATTTATCCCGCCGGACCGTAGGACCTAGAGATTGGGCGTCGAACAGATTCTTTCGCCTCTGCTTTACATTGAATTCTTGGAGCGAAAACATCGCGACATCGCCGTTGGTTTGTTATTAGAAGCTCTGTGATGTGACGATGGCTACCATTAGGATTGTGTGGAATGATACTTCTCATCGTGTTGCTTCTTGCTTTCTTGTAACCAAAAAGAGATGCAATATTTACATAATCTAGAAACAAGACGGGTAATGCGCTTCTCTCCTTACAGACAGACCTAGGTCGATGCCATGGACGCACCTCGCAACATCTATTGTGACAGCCCAAACCCCCTCACACACGTCGCGACAAAGACGCGATCCCGCTCTCTCGCCGGAGAACCTGGCGTCCTGCCTCACAATTTCTCCTTCAGCCTCACGAACAAACTCTCCGCCTTAGCCAGCACCCTCCCCTCTCGGTCTTCGATCCTCCCCCGGATCCACCACTTCCGCCCCTTGATGCTCACGACTTCAGCGACGCACAGAACCGTCTGCGGCGTCTTCACGGGCCGCACGTACGTCACGTTGAGGTAGGCCGTCATGTACGACTTGGACGGCATCAGCCCCTCGGTCTCGTTGATGGGGAAGATGGTGCCGATGGTCTCGTCCAGCACCGTGGCGACGATGCCCCCGTGCGACACGTTGGCGAAACCGTTGACGCCGGCGCCGAGGGTGAGGAGCGCCTTGAGCTCGCGGATGACGTTGCCGCCCTCGCCGTCCGCCGCGACGGCGGGCGCTGTTTCTAATGCCGACGACGATGGCCGTTTGTAAAACATGACGAACGCGGCAATTGTATCCTCCGCGCGCAGCGTCGTCGAGAATAGCTGGTCCTCCGTGCTCGCTTTCTGAAACCGCGACGGCGCCGTGTGGCAGATGGTGCCGGGCTCGTCGAGGAGCGTCGCGCACCACGGGATGCCGAGGAAGTGTTGGACGTCTGGGTCGGCCGACGCCATGCTTCTTGTTTTCCTTTTCTCTTATTTCGGTCGATATTATCTCTACGTGCCGGCTGGATTCAATCCCTTTGGAGAGCGAGAATCAGATGGAGCTCCGTTAACGTTACGTGGGAGAAATGAGCGACTTTGACATTGAGGGTTTCGATGGACCCCAATCCAATTGCATCAATCACAAATGCTGCAAGTGAGCGGAGCGAGAGGTCAATATCGTATCTGGTCCGTGCGTGATCCGCGGCATGTCACCGTGTGCATTAATTACCCAGGAATCCATTGGAGAGATAAAATGGGGCTGGTGGTCGGTCCAATGGTTTGATTTCTTGCTGGGATCTGCGGTCGGCCTACCAGCACTCACCCGCCGGCCCTTAGTCGGGAGATGGTAATTGATACCTCGTCGCGGTGCTGCTCCCTTCCGTGATCGCTACAGCATGTATCTGAACCCTTCGCTTACTGGCTTCGCGCGGCCGCCGGATCCAACTAGCCCTTCCTCTTCCTCGACATCACCCCCACCAGCCGAAGCGGCGTCCATCTTCCGATTCAGATGACCGAGGTAGAATCTCAAGAATAGCGTCAAGACGGCCACGGCGAGCATGGCGGACGCGCAGGCCAGCATGCCAGGGGCGTAAAACGGCGCATCTTTGTCTGGGTATAGCCTCGTCCCCACGAGTGGTCCGCATTGTCCAATGGTCTGCATCAGGGCGAAGCCGCCGCCTTGCCTGCTCTCGGATTTTTGGTTGTTGATGCTCCAAGCGACAGTGAGCGTCACGACATTGAAGAAGCCTACGGCAGCAGGGTACACGGCGAGGTAACGCATCAGCGGTGACAGGCCCAGGGGCTTTGCGAATGCGAGCGCGGTATATCCGCCGGCCGATGCCAGAGCGTGCAGTACAATGGGAACAGACCGATTCTGCATCCGATCCGACCAGTGGGCAGTTGCGAGGACGACAAAGAAAGCTAGGAGGTAGGGCGGGGCGCTGAGCCCTTGCGACTCCAGGAGAGAGTGACCCATTTCCATCATGATTTGAGGAAGAAAGACCGGTAATGAGGAATACGCCATATTGGTGAGGAAGAACATAGCTGCCGTCAGTAATGCCATGGGGTCGCATAAAACGGCAAATACTTCGTGAACCTTGAGGCTACGGGAGCTTCTATCCCCACGCTTCTCACCCGGGCTCTCACGTCGAAGACGGAGGCGAGCGACTTTCCGCTCGCGCGCGGTGAGGTACCACGCCGTATCTGGACTGTCGGGAATGATGTGCCATGCAGCGACGGCCGCGAGGACGGAGGGGAAGCCCTCCACGAGGAAGAGCAGACGCCAAGGGGCAATGGGCCCATTTTCTGCAAACTTGGTAATCAGCCAAGCCAGTGACGACGCGAACGTTATCGCCAACGGTGCGGCTGTTCCATGTCAGCAGTGAATCGACGCGGTTTCAGGCATTGACGCTGACCGGAAATAAAGATTGCGGTGCGGAACGCCAACTCCTCACTCTTGAAAAAGAAAGACAAGTAGAACGGTATACCCGTGAACCCAGCCTCTCCAATACCCAGCAGAACCCGCAGGAAGATGAGCATGGGGTACGAAACAGAGACGGACTGCAGTGAGGCGGTCAAGCCCCATGACAGCACGATCATGGAGGCATAGATGTGGGCTGGGATGAGCTTCCACAGCAGCGACATCCACTCGAAGAAAATGTACGAGATGTAAAAGGCCGTCAGTGTCCACTCGTACCATCCATCCCACGGTGGCTCCGTCTGGAGGTCTTGCTCCATTCCAGAAATGCGTGCCGACCCCAAGTCTATGTCGACACGTCAGTTCACTGCAGATTGCAAAGTACCGTCCAGGGCTTTCATCATACTCGACCGATCCAGGAAACTGAGCATGAATAGCAGCGCTACAAAGACCACCAACTTGCGATCATGTTTGCAGACAACGGACCTCTCCTCGTCGGGCGTGTACAGCTGAAAGCTCGCAACGGTGCTGGTGCTCGTTCGTCTCCGCAGCGGGGGCACGTCGTCACCCCATCCTTCGTCATCCCTCGCCGATGGCCTCCTTAAGCTCTTCAGCTCGTAAGCCTGGCCATCGCCAAGCTCCGCCTCTTGCACATGCATATCCTCTTCAGCAGCGTCGTTTTCGCCATCGTCGTCGAGGTTGAGATCAAGATCGCTATCGAGGTTGAACCCAGCGGTGGTCTGCGCAAACGGCGGCGACGACTCGCTCGCGCGTGGAGAGCGGCCAGCTGCGTGAAACCTTGAAGATTGGGCCATGGTGGGCGGTAGAGGAGAACCATGCGTTACGTCGGGGTTGAGGGACGCACGAAGGTTCGGAGGAGGTATGTCTGCGGGGATAGACTTGTTTAGACCGTGGGGTTGAGTAGGTAGCATGCAGACGACTAGCTCGTTGGCCTGCGTCGGTGCGACGAGACCAGGTGGCCGTTTCGCCACATTGAAATGGGCGTGCCGTTGGAGCTAGCTCGTGTTCCTGGCGTAAAGTAAAATGTCTTGGAAGGGGGCGAGCTAGGCTATTAATATTGTTACGAGATTCCTGGGGACAAAACATCGGGATGGTTTAGGTAGCAGAGAACCTTCCAACCTTTGGCCAATGACGTACGTAGCAAGCTGACCCCTGCTTCGCTACGAACGGGAAGCTGGGGGGAGGGGGATCCTTAGTGACGCTGCGGGAGAGTTAGCGGGCTGGGGAAGAGAACCACAGGAAACAGGGGTCATTGATGAAGGTTCAAGAGCCAATTGGCAATTCAATTCTATTCTTGTGCGCCTTCGCTTTTGAGACCATGTGCTCTACACTGCCACATGGGCATGTGGCTGTAAAAAAGAGTATAAAAATAAAAAATAAAAAACCCCCGAGAAAAGGTTGAAAAGGTGCCCGTATCCTCAAAAGGGAGACATTGCGGCAGAACTGGTACAAATACGGGCTGAGATGCGACGGTGCGCCTTGGCAACTGAGCCCAAATTGCTTTCCCAATGATCACGGGTCATCGCTCTTCTTCCCAAACAGTCTCCTAAACCCGCCGCTTTTGGGTGTCTTTGGCCTGAAATCCATTGAGGGCTTGGACTGTAATGTCGGCGTCTCCTTTTCCGTCCAATTGCCCATCATGTTGGGATGCTTGGGAAGGGTGCCGTAGGGCAAGCCCGTTTCCTTGGGCGAGCTTGGCTGTGCCGGTTGTTGGGGCGCCATGGCTGTTGCAAATTGACTCGCCGGTACGCTCGGCATCGTCCCTGTTCTTGAAGGGCCCGCGTTTCGATCGCTAGGCCTTGGAGTCGAGTTGTCCGCCTCCCGTGTCATGTCCTCTTCTTGGGCCCTCGCCGCAGGCCTGTCTTCAGGAAAATCACGCACTTCGTCGCCGCAAACCACGACATACCACCGGATATCCTCCCCTCGCTGCAGCTGGTCTCTCAGCTTCTCGAACCACCCGGCCTTCTTCCCCGACGAGCCCTTCTTGGCCTTGTAAAACTCATCGCTCGGAGCACTCGCCATCGCTTTTGTCTCGCTTAACCGCTCTTCGTAGCGTACGATCTCTTCTGTTATCGAGTTGCTCAGGTCGATGCGTACAACATAGTCGGCAACGTATGCGTAGGGACGGCTGACATAGCTTAGGTCGGTCGGATCGTATTCCTCCAGCAGCTTCACGGCGCTCCAGTCGTTCTGCAGCACGTCATCCTCTTCGGGAGGGACGGTCGAGGGGGCACATCGTATTCGTTACGCAGGGCAGCGGCCTTGGACGCCTTGGACTTGTTGCGCTTCTTCTTGTCACGTTGGGCCTCGGTCTCGTCGGGAGCGGGTTCGGGGAGGAAATCGAAAAGGGAGTAGAAGGCTTCGAGGATGGCGGGAGACGAGTGTGGCGCGATAATCCATTCGGGCGCGGCGTCGTCTATGTTCTGGACGACTACAAATACACGAATGCTACGACGATCCCAACGAAAGCCGTGGCAAAGGTAGGTAGGCATTATGGGTAGCTCTGATAGAGCTTGAAGAGATAAGCGGGGATCGGCTGGGCGAAAGCTAAGGCGAAAGCTGGGGCGAGGCGGTGGATGCCGGAGGGGCGTAGATGGCCGGCCCAGCCCGAGAAGGGATACGGGATTGATGGCAAGTGTCGATCAGTGGAGAGCTTCGAGCCGGGGTTATCAAGAACGGTGGACTGACAGTCGTTGTTTGTGTCGTCGTTCGGGTTCGTCGAGGGTTCGGAGATGCCGGAGAGCGGCTCGGATTGGACAGCGGCGAAAGCTAAGAGTGGAAGAGGGCCCAATGATGGCCGTCGTACGTCAGGTCAGGCCGAGAGGCGTGTTAGGTAGCCCGACCAAGACGGAATTAACGATAGGGTGGGAAAGTAAGTGTTGCGAGTGATGGGGAGGCTAGGTGGAACAGAGGTTGCCGGCAAGCGATGAGGAGAGAGTGAGGTGCGGTGCAGTGCCTTATTCAAGCTGTGGTCGAGGAAACATGGCTTGTAGCATCGCACGCTGGGCTGCCGCGCACCGGCTAAGACGCGAGGAAATAATGGTCGGATCAACCGATGACCAGATCGAATTCTAAGTGGTTGGGAAGAGGGGAGAGGGTGCGTCGAGTCTGGTATAGGCACAAAAAAAAAAAAAAAAAAGCAAGGAGAAAGGGCGAAGCGTAGCCAGGCGAAGACGGAGAAGAAATGCAACGGAATGTCGGAAGAGAGGAAGATTGCCAATGAGAAAACGGAACGAAGGTAACTGCCCGTCCACCTACGAACGAGATGGAATGGCGAGAATAGAATGGGAGGACAACGTCCCCAAGTTTCTGTTTCTGGCAGACGCCACGCTACCACTCTCGAAAGGACGAGCGGGAAGAGAGAGAGAGAAAGAAAGAGAGCTTTTGGGGATTGCTGCGCTGACTGGCAGAATTGACACGACACTTTGACCATTCGCGCCCACTGCTTTCCTTCTCGTCAGCTGGTTTCGCCGTCCGTGCTCGGATGTGGCTCGGCCCAAACGGGGACCAACCGGCTGGCCTGTTTCTGGACGCTACGACAAATCTGCTACTAGCACTGTGGGTTGTATCAGATGTCACTTCACAGGAATGAATGTCTTGATCATAGGCCATGACGGAGGGAGCTTGCCAATGTGTTTGGTTATAGGGAATGCCCACGACCGCTACGATGACAGAACCTTGACATCTGAAGGCCAACCCTGGCTATGCGTCCAGTTGCGGGCAGGTAATCGCTGGGCTTTGGTTACCTACCTAGTTAGGTAGGCGAGCAAGCACCGCGCGCCCCACCTGGTATGCTACCTACTACCCATCTTACCTTACCCTGCCATGCTTGTCCTGTTGTGTCGTGACGGAATATCTGCGTTAGACCTGCTTTTGTGGCAAGTGCCCGGCGACCGTAGCCCAATGACCTGCAGGTACAAGGAACACGGCGATGACAATTGGGATGATAACCTCAGTGCGTTATCCAAAGCGAAAGCGACGGGGGGGTTCTAAACGAAAGTAGGCAAACCAAGCGACACTCTTACCGACACACACACACGCGTACACACACGCAACCATTGTCTTTGAACCCAAACCCTATCTTGCGGAGCCAATCGCCTATTACGATATGCTTTGAGATGTGCGAATGGAGACACTTTGTACGAGTGTTCAGCGCAACTCTGTTGGCCCGCGGATTTTAAGTCGTCTTGAAACTAGTCGACAGCAATCAAAAATTGTAGTCTTTGCCCTCGACGACTTCCCACCGACGTAGCCAAGATGCCTACCGCTGGCCCTCCAAGTCTTTAAACCAGACAGGCGGTGTCGCTTGTACTGGACCGACGTACCCACCCGAGAGGTTATCTGATGATTGCAACGGGCCGAAGCTCACATGTGTGAGGGGCGCTGGAGGCTCATCATCACGCACATGCGGTTGTCTGCCGGAAAGAAGAGCTAGTCGGACAGCCTTGAAGAAACAGCAGCAGCGTGCTGATCAGCGTCTGAGACGGACGGAAAACACGTCGCTAGGTGTCCTGCATATCTATCTCTGCCGCGCCCCTTCTACAGAGAGGCACCATGCACAGCCGCCGATCATAACGAGGCAGCCAGCCCTGCCGTCAAGGCCCCGAATACCAACGAAAAGTCTCCCAACATCCGGCTAGACCCACTCGCCGGAGCCGACGTCGACGCCACCGCAGCCGTTCCCGTCTCCGTCCCGATGTCTGCTTCTGTCCCCGACTTGGTTCCCGTTGCCGTCGTCACGCCTCCTCCTGTCTCTACCAGAAACGACGCGCTTCCCGTTGCTCCAGTCGCAGGTCTTCCAGATACCGATCTGGTATACGGTGCCGGACTTGTGAAGGTCGCACAAGTCGCTGTAGCTAGCCACTCGGACCAATACGAAAGGAGCGCTGACGGATTGTACTCGCCCTGTGTGATGAGGGTGAACGGCTTGCACTTTCTCCAGTCCTGCCGTCACGGCCACAACTACTGAGTGCGCCGACACGAAGCAAGTAAGTGTCAATCGGCATAGCGGGATCCACCGTCGTCGACCCCGCCGCGTCGACAGTTGTTACGAAGCACTGACCGTACTGATTGGGGATGACGTCGTCGCTCCCGCTGCCGAGGCGACATCTCCACTGCTTCTCGATGCCCGCCGTGGCCGTGTTGGTCCCGATCCAGCTGGAGCCCTCGATGTGGGTGACGGTCGCTGGCCAGTGGCCTTCCTTCTTGCAGGCCGCATCCGCCGTCGGGCAGGCCACGTGGTGGGTTTCGTTTCTTCTGTTGTGCGCGATGATGGAGGCCTCGAGGCTGCCCGTTGGGTGGGTGTCGAATATGAAGAAGGCGCGGGCGGAAGCGGTGATGAGGGGCGCCTCGGCACCGGTCGACGCCTGCGCGTTGACGAGGGGCAACAAAACCGAGACGCCGCAGAAGAATGAAGCTGCCCTCATAATTGATTGAATGACTGCCTGCCGTCTGTTTCCAAGTGCAACTGCCAGGTGTAACTATTCCGAGATGCATCGATTCGAGAGGACCAGTCGCTGCTCATAAACAAGCGCCAAGCTAATAGGACCGAAATGTTGCATCTTTTGGTAGAGATTCTAGGCGTTTTTCTGCCCCCCCCCCGGGCGGAGAGTCTTGCAGTTGGTTCCAACAATGGTCCGCTCAAAGAAGCTTACTGGAGTTGTGCTCACGAGTCCAGGCTTGCACCGGACGACGCGTTCCGGAGGTTCTAACGCGCGTGTCCTTCGTGCACGGCAATGCCGAGGCCGGCGGTGTGTATGCTCTACCCAACGAGCGACGCTATCATCTTCAGAGATGGGGAAAAGCAACACATTCTCATCGCGGGATATGCCTGACTGGAAGACTGTTTTGTTTCGTTTCAGAAGGGTATTTCTAGTCGAGCGCCCACATTGTGCTCTCAACACAGACGCGCTGGATTCTCAGGGTGGTTAGGTGACTCCTACGACTAGATATTCCGTCCGGGCGGACCTGCTCGGGGCTGCGGGATACAAGCGTCGAAGAGCACATGACAAGACCAACCGATGTTGTTGGATATAGCCGCAACCACGCCGCAATAAACTTGGCAATCGCATGGAGTATTGTCCTTCCTCGGGTTAAGTCACGACTCGAGCGGAAGAAGGGCTCATCTTGATAAACGAAGAAGGACATGCCATGGCGGCAGCGCGCGGTCCACACGTCTTCTTGGCGTCCTACTGGTAGCAGTTAAACAGGCAGACACTTTGCAGGGCAGCATTTGAGTCATCAAAGTATCCGTACCTCTTGGAGTCTCTCGCTTATTCCGCACAGACTCACGCACAGACCAATCAGCTTACCCTTTTGCTAAGAAGAAAAAGAAGAAAACAGAGATATCTCTATTAGTTTAGAGTGCATCTAGAACATAGTAGTATAAATTGACTCTTTAGAGAAATTTGCCTCTCGAAACGCTACCTTAAGTTAAAGATAACTAGGCTATAGTAGATACGATTAGAGACGCTCTTTTCCTTTATTGTTAACTTAAAAGTTGAGGATTTGAAGTTGGTGGTGTGGGGACAGAAGTGACTTAAGAGGAAGTGGGTCAGTACTTTGAGATAGTCTGAAATGCTAAAGTTTGACCCACAAAGTGTCTGCCTGTTAACTGCTACCGTCCTGCTTGATACGATGTCCTGGGAAATCGGATCGTTACCCAATAACGGGACCAGTCCCCCCAATCAAGCCATGGGGCCGTTTGAACTGTCGAATTATTGCAGCCTTGGGCCTAGGATCTTGGGAGTCGAACGCTCATTGGGCCAGCGCCTTGTACAGCTGAAAGAAGCTTAGTTCACCAGCCGGGGAGGAGATCCTACAGGCACCAACTTACTATGTATGGCTTAGGCCAAGACAAGGGTGGTGTGGTTGGTGGGGAGAAAAGCACAATGCAATGCGGGCGACCCTCACGATAAGATGAACTATTCATAACCACCGTCTCCATAACGAAAAGCCATCGAGACGCCCCGGAACCGTTAAAACTAGTGACAGTCCGGCGAAGCATGGGCAGACCGATTGGTAGTAGGGCCAAATGAGGCTCCCGAGCCCTATGATGTGGGCGTGTTCCTGACTACTACATAGTACGTAGGTAACGAATGGCGAGGCAGCGCCTTTGGCTCGCGGGAAAGGCTCGCCGTTTCAGCCGTCGACGAACGGAGAGCGCCGCGGCGGCGGCAGAGATACGCCTTGTTCCGTCTCCCGCACCTACCTAATCTTAAAATTGGTCTCAAGTTTTTACTAATGTTTGCTCCGCAGCCTGCCTACCTTTGTGTCAACAACCGACCTTGTTCATTAAAGCCCCATATGCTAAGAGAAACTGCTTCTGGGTCGAAGAGAGAGATCCGATAACATATCCCAAGAGAACCCGTCCCTCGGATCGTGGGCATCCGCGCCAGCGCAATAAGCACGCAGCTGCGAGTTCGTCCTCCAGCCCCACAAACCCATCATCAGCTCAGCTCGGGGGTGGGTGGTCCCCTGTCCGGCTCTATGCCCCACCCACGTAAGCACTAATGGTAGCCACAGTGGGAAATGTAACGATGCCAATCTCTCCTTGCCCATACAGCAGCATACTGGACAGGAGCGGTGTTGAACACTATCCGTACTGTTTGGTTCAATTACGATGCGCGACTGGACCAATCCTTCCCTTTTCTTTCCCCTCGCAGGATGAGAAGGAAAAAAAAAAATCCCCCGTTCCTTTTGTATCCATGGATGTCGGGTGCCGGCGTCGAGAGGGGGCCGAGGGCTAACATTGCCGTCTGCGGCAAGGGGCGTCCAAGCCTGCGTTGGCGACTGCCTCGTTCGCTCGCTCGTGTGCATATGGCAACACACACTTTCGTGCCTGTAAGTCTTGAGATTAAGCTAGTAAGCAGAGCGGGGGATACGTTGGGGAGGACCAGGAACGGCGGGGGGGGGGGCGACTGCGCCTAGCTCTCGCCAGACGGCACACTCTTTGGCGTCAAGCTTTTGTGGCTGGCCTTGGACGCCTCAACATAGTATCCTCTTGGGCTGAGCCGCTAACGAAGTGCCTTACACGTTGTTGGATGTTCCGAAACCTCGCGAACCGCCCGGCGGGTGAAGGCATGACTGGCTGTCGTTAATCGTACTGCCAATGGTAGACTACAGACTCAGCCCAGCTCAGCCGTCTTTGCTTATTCCCAACCCATCCAACTAACCAGGGTACTGGGCCAGGGGGGGGGAATACATACGATGCTCGTGTCGCCCCGATTCTAGGCTTCCGTCCGCCCCCTGTCGTGCCGTCTTCCTCCTTGGGTACATAGTATGTGTGTTAAGCTTTGCTTCCTCGCTCTTCATCCCACTCGTCCGCGTCAGAGGTGCGAGAGTTGACCGTCTACGAAACTAAATGATGGGTAATAATACACCAGGGATCCACCGGGGGATCAGATTTTACTACACGCTAGACCCATTGCTTCCTCATAGTGGCTGCTCACTCGTTGATTTACTTCTTTATCTCTCCCTGTCTCTCTCTCTCTCTCCCGCGCGTGCTGTTGGTCAAGCTTGTGCCTTGTGTGACCTGCAACCCGTCTCCCTTTCGCCCCTTCCTTACCAACCTTCCTGCACTCTCCGCTCTGATAGCCTTGTGAGTACGGTCAAGTATTTAACTAGGGTATGTTCCCCGCTCGGCACTTTTCACTTGAACCTGTTCTCCCGGCTTTCCTGTCTCCCAAGCGTACTTCGCCAATACCACAACCACATCTCTGTGATCCGCCCTGCTAAACATCATGGCTTCGCAGTACGACGAAGGCCCGGAGTTGGCACCTCAGAACCAGTTCCCCGAGGTCTACAACCCTCTGCCGCAACACTCTCAACCCGGGACCCCACATCCCGCCCCCGTCACGTCCTCGAAGCATGAAGACTCTACCTACGGAAAGTACTCGGTCTCGGCCGCCGATCAGTCCGCCTACGGCGGCGCTCAGTACCAGCCCGACGGCTCGCAAAAGAAGAAGAAGACCATCTGCGGCTGCACCTTCCTCGTCTTTCTCCTGTCCGTCGTTATCGCCGTCTTGGCGGCGGCTGTCATCGGGTTGGCGGCGGGCACCGGCGTCGAGGCGAGCCGCGCAAACGAGGCGCTAGAACAGCTGGCCAGTCTGAAGGCGTCGGTTACCGCTGGAGGGTCCGCCACAGCAACGGCGACGGCTACGGGTGCGCCCGCGACGGCGACAGGCTTTGCATCAATCAGCAATGGTTGTTCCAACGCCGATGAGACGACCACTAATCAGACGTACACCACAGACTGTAAGGCCCCCCTTTCCTGCCCCTTGTGACTGAGGACGGACACGAGTAGGAGGGAGCCCCGACTGACGTGATGAACCCCAAGTCTTCGGAAAGAAGACGTTTGTGCAATTCTGCAACTCAAACGCCCCCAACGACCCCCTCATGAGCCTCTTCACGGCCAACTTTGACAACTGTATGGATGCCTGCGCCGCGTTCACGAACTACGATCCCGTCTTCGACGGCAACGCCACCTGCCAGGCCGTCAGTTTCATCCCGCTCTGGACGACGCGGGAGGCCGCCGTTAAGGGTCAGGCGCCTGGCAACTGCTACCTCAAGCCGGGGCCGCAGTCGCGGGAGAAGCTATTGACCCCGAACATCGGAACCGAGTGCCACGCCGCCATCATGAACAACTGATGGCGGCGGCGGCGGCGGGGCAAGGGGACGGGGTACGGAATGGGTTGGACGGAAATGGCGCCGGGGTTTCCTTTTTAAACCAGTGTTTGTGTATGATCTATACCACTTGTGCCAGTTAAGATTTTCGTGTGCTGTCGGGGTTTGCGTCAGGGTCGGCGTCAAGAGGAAGGAAAGCAAGGTGTCGGGCCAAAAAAAGAAATGCCCCGAGGACCCTATGACGGTCCATGCTAAGAATACTGACCAACGCTGTTGGTGCGATGTCTAAGGAGCAGAATATGCAAGATACCTGACGAGACCCAACCCATCTCTGTGAAACCGCTCCTCTGCCGATAGCATGCAGGTGTGACTGGCATGAATTCACCAGCCTCTTTCCAGCTCGCAGTTGGCGACACGCCCTGGTCTCTTGGCAGTTACGAGAACTTCCCCAGGTCCAGTCGCAGTGCAGGGCAAAACCCCGGATACGCGACGAACCAGAGGGTTCTATTGCGACGAGGGCTCCAAGATGCCGCCGGCCCATCCACCCAAGAGTGCGCAAGTGTCGTTCCTGGCGATGATAAATAGAGATGAACAGGGCAAGCAAGAGTCGATCAAGTACAAGCAGGTCCTTATCCGCATCACCGACCTTCAGCATGCATGAAAGATGGAAGTTGGCACCGGGCCGGGACGAAACGTCGGAAGCCGGCACAAGTTCGGAAAATACTGTATTCCATAGGTGATCCGGGTCGGTGTCAGGCAGGAGGAAGGCATGACGTTTCCTCTTTCTTCGTCTTGTCTGCGCCTCCTACGGATCGGGGGTCACGACCTGGGGAGGAAGGCACACGTTCGGAATAACCACTTACATAAGTGCTGACTTCTAGCCCGCCCGTCTTTGATCACGCAAGTCAGCCAAGCTTGCCAACGTCAAGAACCACGCGCCGACACTACATTCTGGACCCTGTTCGGCATCGGCATCGGCATCGGCCCCCCCTTCCAAGAAAAAAGAGGTGCAGTGATCACCAGAGCCGAGCTCGCTCGGTCTCGACGGCTTCGTCCACCTCAAGCCGCTGCAGAGCGACGCAAGCCATCTGCCGGGCGGCCGAATGGGCCCTCGCGGCGTCCGACCTCGCAGAAGACCGGCACAGGGTCCAGCGATGCGACATGGCTGGGGTGAACCGTGGGAGGCTTCTGGAGGGACGGTGAAATCTCGGGGGAAGGGGTGTATGGGCTAGCACGGGCTGATGCTCGATTGGGCGGCGGTCCTCATGGAGATATGGCTGTTCAGACAATTCATTCCCACCATACGACCGCGAAGCGTCGCACTCAGAATCCCCCTGATGCCAACCCCACAAATTTGTACCAGGTTCCGTGGCATGAAGGCCGATGGATACACGTGTTGAGCAGTACAGTTTACACACCCTAGGTTGGCCATAGTGTAATGTATTGGTGTGGACGGCCTCACCGTAAGACGGGCATGTCCAAATGGCCATTGGTAAAGCGGAAAAATTCCACAGCCAGCAACGCCAAGCAACAACCTCCCCCTCGCAGAAGGCCGGTTAGCTAGTCGACTTCATCCTCTGCAGTATGGAACCAGCTCGAGACTTCTGGAAAAGCGGCACCCTGGAGGATATCGGCCGGTTATGCTACACTATCTACTTACTTACTGCACTAGCACCAAAGTCTCCAAGCGCCTTCTCGTACCTGAGATATCGATTTTGTCCTGCGAAGCACATTGAGAACCATCAAAAAGTCTTTTCCGCATGTCTTGACGCATTCCTTCTCTATAGAAGCTTGGGTTCTCGGAAGTTACCTTAGTTTAAGCTCAATTCAAGCGACGGATCAAACGGTGCCTAGCCGACTGACATACAACTATCGCAGCTACACCAGGCAGGGCCATGGCTTACACTCCACAACCCTTCCGCAAACGGAAACGAGCCTCCCATTCGCCGGTGTGACTGTGGGGGGTTGGGGTTGTCCCCGTCTAAAGGGTGCAGACTTGTCAAGACGTGCGCCCTTCGCTCGACAAGCTGATGCACAAGACCCATCCTAATCCCGGTCGGGTGAGCTAGCCATTGATGACTCCGACTTGCTCGACGCGCCAAAGGTCCATATGGCTTGACCCGGCGTCCTACTGTATCGGATGGAGAGGAGAGCTTTTGAATAAAAGATTTCGTCGCCTAGATCTCGCCTTTCCAGAATTGTACTCTTTTCCTTTCTTATACCGTTTTGTTGTGTGTCTGTTCGCCTCCTTGGATTCCGTTGTTTGTCGAATCCCAAGGCTTCTAGACTCTGACCTCCCCGACTGTGTGTCTGTCTGTCTGTCTGTCTGTGGCCGCGAGAAGCTTACATCAGGCGGGGCTTTCCAAGCGACGCCCTTGCGACTCTTTGATGGTTTGACTGACAAATCCATCGGCGTGACACATCGAGTACCGCGCCCTATCGATCTACATCCTCCATAGGAGAGAGCTTGCTCCATGCCGTCGACGCCCTTCGACAACTCGACCCAATCAAGCCACGCCCTGTATTAAGGGCCAGTCTTAATCATGACCACCATACCAGAGGACATGGACGAATTCGTCAACTGGGAGGCGGCCGCTGCCGAAGTCGGAAACATCTTCGACATGTCCTCCCAGGACTTGCCGCCCACCGATCCCCCCAACCTGGATTTGGTTTTAGAGAATGCCAACGACGACGAATTTAGCTTTGTCGCTCTCGAGCACTTCTCTGGGGACCACTTATCCGGCGAGCACGCCTCGGGTGTCCAGACCACCGGCAACCTGCTCGACCTGGTTGACAGCCAACTTAGCAGTGCCCAGGACGACTGGTGGTACACTCCCGACACACCCTGCGTCAACTGCGCACTTGGGGGCTACCAGTGCAAGAAGATCAAAGAAGCCAGCTCGAGCATCTACGAGCATTACTGCACCTCATGCGTCGCGCTCAGGAACGAGTGCAGCTTCGCTGAGCACTTGCCTGCCATCGCTCGCCTCGACCCGTTCGAGGCTTTGCCTTCTCAGAACCCCTGGCCCACAATGGGAGACCACCCGCGTGCTGTCAATGAAGATGGCGGTCTTGGGGAGCTCTTGCTTTCCAGGAAGACCTGGCCGGCCGTGAGAGACCAATCCTGCGCCATCCAAGAGGACGGCGCTAAGGCTGTAGGCTTGCCGGGGACGTCTACGCCGGATCTGTTGCGGAGCCTGACAGCTTCCGCGTGCGCCGATGAGACGGCCACGGCAAGCAAGATGGCAACCCCCGCCAAAGTAGGAGCTCGGTTCTCGCGGGAGTCCGTCCGCATCTTGAAAAACTGGCTCTCGACTCATACCCGGCATCCGTACCCCAGCGACGAAGAGAAAGAGATGCTGCAGCGCCAGACGGGCCTCAACAAAACCCAGATCACCAACTGGCTTGCCAACGCCCGGCGCCGAGGCAAGACACAACCCCCTCGCTCTACCTCACCACACCCGCGCAGTTACAACGGCGCCATCGACATTCCTCAGAGACGAGGAACGCCTGCCCCGGATGGTAGAGTGCGCAACATGAATCCCCTCGAGCGTTGGGTCGACTCCCCTCCAGAGAACGAACCTGCCGAAGTGACGGCCATTGCCCGCGCCGTTGCGTCCAGTTCTGGAGCATCTTCATCAGGTACAACGACAACGAGCCTTACTTCTGACTATCCTTTGGCCGCGCTGACATGTTCCAGGCCTCACGAGCCCTTACAGCTTCAATTTCACCGACGACGGGTCAGGAAGGTCCCTCTGCAACGCTTCCTCGGCCAGCAGTTTGGGCACCTCTCACTCCAGCGGCGGATCCTTCGTCTCTGCGTACTCCCATGCGTCCCACGGCTCCTTCGGCTCCTTCGGTTCCTTCAACCGAGGCCGCAGGCGTCGCAGGAGGCGTGCCGGCGCCAAGCCGGTCGAGGAGAAGACCTCTCTCGCCCCTGCCTCCAAGACTTACCAGTGTACGTTCTGTACCGAAACGTTCAGGACCAAGCACGACTGGCAGCGGCACGAGAAGTCGCTGCATCTGTCTCTTGAGAGATGGATATGTAGCCCTGACGGTCCGGCGGCTCTCAACCCCGAGACGAACCAGTTGTGCTGCGTCTTCTGTGGCGAGGCCAACCCCGACCAGGCTCATGCCGAGAGTCATAATCACTATCAGTGCAAGGAGAGAAGCTTGGAAGAGCGCACTTTCTACAGGAAAGACCATTTGAATCAGGTGAGAGAGCAACCTAGCCAAGAGTCGGTTCCTAGACCGAAACGCTAACGAGATCAGCACCTGCGCCTCGTCCACGATACAAAGTTTGTCGAATGGTCCATGAAGTCTTGGAAAGTTGCCACGCCAGAGATTCGATCACGGTGTGGTTTCTGTGGCTGTGTCTTGGACTCGTGGAAACAGAGGACTGAGCACCTCAGTGAGCATTTCAAGGGCGGTAATACGATGGCCGACTGGAAGGGAGACTGGGGTTTTGAAGCACCAGTGCTCGAGATGGTTGAGAACTCAATACCACCCTGTATGAACCGGCCCCTCAACTATCCCGTAGATAAGCTACCGAAGTCTAACTTGTGGTAATATAGATCTCATTGACAATGAGCGGAACTCGCCTTTCCCCTACCAGGCCTCCAGTGCCCCTGCGGAGACGCCACGCTCGGCTTATGAGCTCATCAAAGTCGAGATGGTACATTTCATGCAGAACCATTACGAAAAACACCACACCTTGCCTAATGACGAGCAGATGCAGCTCGAGAGCTGTCGTATCATTTTCGCCTCCGAAGTCCTGTCCATCCGGGAGATTTCGTATCCCTTTTCGTGGCTGCGTGACCTCCTCATGGGAGACGCCGACATCATGAGACGAGCAAAGATAGGAAAGATGCGTACGCAGGCCGAAAACAGGCTGTCCACTCTCAAGCTGAACGGCAAGGACACTCTGTTCGAGCGCTGTCCCCTCGAGGAGCAGCTGCACGAGTTCGTCAGGGCGAAGAGGCTACTGGGACTAACGGCCATGGACGAAGAGCTGCAGACAGAGAGCTGTAACATCGTCGGCCGTATCGAGGAGGTATCGACGGCGCCGAGCGACTTCATTGCCAGCTGGCTTGTGCGGACCATCAACCGATCCACCAACTGGCTTGCCAACTTCAGACAGCGAGCCCATCTCCCCCGGACCGAAGACATCGTGGTCGAGAACGAGCGGTCGACAGACACGACCAAGATCGACTCGACCATCCACAACTACAGCAGACTTGAGCGCTACTTGGCCGACTACGTCGAGAGGCAGAGGAGCCTCGGCATCGAGCCTTCTAACGATAGCCTGCAGAGGGAGGCCAGGATCATCATCTACGAGTTCGACGACGGCTGGAATCAGACCGCCGCCGACAACTTGGACTGGCTCGCGGCTTTTCGGCAGCGTCATCCACCCACCCCCGTGCAGGGCTCGAGCTCTACGACGGCACCTGCGTCTCAGGATCAGCTATCCCACGATGGGCTTCATTCGTCCATCACAGACACCTCTCCGTCCAACGTTCCATCTGCCAACTTTTCAGACGGCCTGACTTGCCCCCTCATGACGGGCGGGTCCAACCAGGTTCCTGCGGCCCTGACCCAGGCCGGACCGTTCTTCCTCAACGACGCAAACTGCTACCGTCGCCTAATGAGGGAATTGGCGAGGTGGTGCGCAAACTTACCGCTTAAATCGATCACGGACGAGATGCTCCAGAGGCAGGCGAGGATCATTCTTTACAACGAGTAAGTTTTGTTACGCCGCGGCACCTCCCACTCCTGCTAACCCCCCGTTGTAGCGACGACCCATGGAACCAGACCGCGGCCGACAACGCCGAGTGGCTACTCAGGTTCAAGCGCGACTGCGGCATCATCCGCGACCCCGGCCCGGGACTGCCTCCCGGCGACGCCTGGTCGCTCGCGCAGGGCGGCACCGGCTTCGCGCCCCCTTACGCCTTTCCCAAGGGCGATATGGCCCCCTTCAGCGAGAGAACGACGGAAGTGCCGATCCGGAACATAAAGGTCTTTGAGATCCAATCGGACATCACGAACCGCTACCTAGAGACATTCAAGACTAGGTACCCGAAGCCGGCTACCATCTTCTGCTCCCGCGAGCTCGAGGACGGGCTCGTCAGGTTCGTCGAGACGGAGTTGGCGCTCTCTGGGCAGTTCCCCGACGACGAATCCCTCAGGGCGCACGCCTCCTTCATCCTGAACGCGCCTCAGACCGCGGCGGACGACCCCGCCCTGCTGGGCAAATTCAAGGGCTGGATGATGATGAGGGGTCAACAGTCCAGCCAGCAGCAGCAGCAGCAGCAGCAGCAGCCCGTTCTGTTCCAGCCGCAACCGAGAATGCCGCTCCCATCAACGTCTACGTCAACGTCGACATCGACTTTGCCTACGGGTATGGACCTGACGCTCTCAGATGCGGAGATGAACAATATCCTGCGAGACATGAACTTCGACCTCAGCGCAGCGGAACTGGAGGGTCTCGACATGGCCATGGGGATGGATCTTAGCGCCGACGCCGGGCCATCTTCATGCTAGTCACACGGGGGGGAATTTGATATCTACGGTTTCTGCATTGTTGGGGGTAACGATGTTTCATGACGCTCTTTAACGTTTATAGAATTTAGGGGGGGGGCATCGGATTGGGTTGATTATACATTTCAAAAGCTATTGTATCTGCTTTCAAGAAATCAGCAAACTGAGCTGCTAGATTGATAGACACAAAACAGATATAAGGGTGGGACACAACAGAGTATGTGTTTGTCGCCCTAGGCTTGTTTACTATACCCAAAATGAACATCTAATAAGAAAAACCGAAGAAAACAAAAAAGAAAGGAGGGGGATGGGGAAAAAGGCGAGCCCCTCACGTCTGGATCGACTCATGACTAGCTGAATCAATATGTAAATGCGAGCCCGTCGTTCACCGGTTGCTTCGCCCTCTGATGGCCCACCTCTACCGATTCTACGGTCTAGGCGGTGTTCAGGGCAGCGGCATTTCAAGGACTGCACTGTAGAGGCGTGCTTATTCGTCAAGATATTGTCAAGCAATGGGCCACGAGATTAGCTTATGCTTATCCGCTATGCCGACGGAGTCGACATCACGCACGCTTATCTGACACTGTACAGCACACTCTCCTCCATCCCATAACCGCCATTCAACGGCATGCTAGACCGTCCTGGTCTTCGCCTCACACACACACACTCTCTCTCTCTCCGAAACGACGCATCTGCCACTTGACAACCATGCCCCGGGGCTAGCTAGCGCAGCCCTATCATTCGGCAGCCTTGCAGCTTCACCAACTTTTGCGCGGAAACGAAATCCGTACCAGGCAGTAGCGGCCTTGCAGCGATGGCAGAACCAGGCCCGGCCACGACGGCCCACGCGGCTCTTAACAACCGCCCCAGAACGCGCCAGAGGATGCCCAAAGCGGCTCCCTCATTGGACGTGCCGAGCATCGAACAAGATGCATCAGAGAGAAAGCGGGTGCTGAATGTTCTAGCCCAACGCAGATACCGTAAGATTCACCGCCTCGTCGCACCCTTCTCATTCCATCTCGGCTGACCTGTGAGAGACAGGAGAACGTAAGAGGCAGAGTCGCCTCGGCAGGGAGAACAGCAGCCACGTTGATGTTCCAGAGCGTCGGGTATCTGAGACAGACGCTGACAGCGACCTCCCATGTGCTGCCCCTTCATTCGTACTTGAGACTGGGGGCCCAATTGAGCAGGTTGCAGGCAAAGGCAGACCGCCGGCCAGTGAAGTAGATGGCGCTACTGCGGGGTTCAATCTGGATGCGTCTGCGGTGTGGTCGACTGATCCGTCAGACAGTGATTCGATATCGGACCTGCTGTACAGCACGAACCCAACCGTCTTTGGCGCGGGCCTACACGTCGAAAGCTCTTGGGCAGTGGCGGCGGCGTTGCCCAGCACACCATCGACAGTCGACCCTGCATCGCTGATGCAATGTTCATCTCTGTCACCGCCAGACTTCCCCGACAGCTACCTCCTCCCCATGCGCGACCTGAAGGTCCTCAAGGGGCTCCTTCGGATAGCCACTAGACTAGGATCCTACTCTGTCATGTGGGACCCCGCAGCGACCTCGCCGTTCAACCTGGGGACGGGAACGGCGGTGGAGCTGCTGCCCGAGACGTGGCGACCGACGGCGTCGCAGGTCCTCCTGCCGCACCACCCCATCATGGACTTCCTGCCATGGCCAGAGGTGCGCGATCGCGTCATCAACCTCTTCAGCCTTCCCGACGAGGCGAGGCCGCCCGCGGCACGGGGCCAACTCGGACTCGTCAACTTTGCGTACGACTTGGAGGACTCTAGCGAAGGGGCGCGCATCTGGGGCGCCGACCCGTACGATGCGTCGAGCTGGGAGGTTGGCCAGGTCCTCTTCGAGAGGTGGTGGTTCGTGTTCGACAGGAAGGTCGTCAAGCAGAGCAACAAGTGGCGGCGACTCAGGGGCGCGGCGACATTGCAGATGCGGCCCGGGCAGTGTGGTTGACCGGTCCGAGACCGGTTGAGCGTCTTGCGGGGGTTCCGGACGAGTCAGGACGTCAATGTGGGCGGGCGAAAATCAAGAGAGAGAAAAAAATCCAATGCCATCCAAAAGACGGGGGCGAGAGTTGTTCTGGGCTCTCCAGTTCTACATGGCAGCGGTCCAGTCGCCAGCTACGCGCTGACTGCTACACCCACACGATACGGCCTGGTATGCCTGTCCGTGATACAACGACACAGAAAGCGTACGGGCATTTGGCTGTAGGCAAATTGATATTTGGTCGTACTTAATTAAGCCCTTTTTAACCAGAAGGAATACCCACAATCACAGTTACAACCCACAAAATCCGATGTACCTCCAAAAAAATCTACGGCCAACTCTACTATTCGAGTTTGAATAAGGTCGGGTTCATGATTCTAGTTAGAGTTGGCATTAGGATGGGTTAGAATGAATAATTCGGAGTATAAAAGGGATTTATCAAGTAGGATATAGCAGAAGTTGCGTGGTAAAGCTGACGAAAGTGGTTAGATACGGCCACATAGCAAATCGCCTACGGCCAAGTACGACGACACAAACATGCCGGTTCCGGAAGGAGCAGCTATATCCGGGTAGAGAGACTAGGGGCGCAAGCAGCCGGTTTAGTGCATTTCGTTGTTCACCAGAGCGAGGGACGATTGATCACATCTTACTGGCCTCGAACAAGAGCTTATGCGGGAACTTCTTAGTCAAGACATGTATGTAAATCGCAACTGGAACCCCGCAACCCCGTGAACACGATATCTTGGAGGGAAAGAAGAGCGGACATTTCCACTCTTCCCAAATCTTGCTTTTGAGCACCTAGGAAAAGACGCCGAGCGGGCGGGTTATGTTTCAGTGTGGTTCGGAGGTCGCGCCGTTGCCAGCGTCGAGTTCGGCTGCGGGTGTTCGGCGTCATCGGCCGTGGTGGCACGGGCCCTGGTTTAGCCGGTGTATCAAGAGTCTCCGATAATGTCAACCTTATTCGTCAGGGCATGACACAAAATCCCATGCGCTCTTCTTCTCTTTCTAGGACAGCATTAGCGCCGCAAACTCTAGGCGGACGGATGTTGTCATTCCAGCGGGTTCTTGACATTCGTCCGGCCAATATCATTAACCTCTGCGACACTATATTATGGTTTTGGGTAATAGAACGAGAGCTAAACCAGTCATCCTGCCGTCTTTTTAGGTTTCCCACGTTCCTTGGTGTCCGTTTCCCGCCCGGGCCTAAGGGTAGGGGGGGGGCGACTCGCGTTGGCCAAGACGGGGCGGGGGATTGAGTAGCGCCGCCCCATTTCCGGGCGAGAGATTGGCCAAGGATGGGGGGATGCCGACCCCATCTGTGTGCAATCTATGGTAGCAACTAGTTTAAAACGGAAGAGATGCGGTATCTGGAGAGGATGGAGAAGGCTGGAGAAGATGGAGACGGCTGGAGCAAACGGAGAGAAGATGCCCGCCAGACTAAGAGACTGAGTGGTATTCGTACACGTACGTACCTACTGTAATGTACACACGTAGGCGGTGGGGGGCCGCCGACGACGGACCGAGGAGAGGAGGGAAGGCCCTGCTTGGAATATAGTTCCGCCTGGTTGGCTTGTTGTTCGTTCGTGTGTGAGATCCTCGAGGGGGTGTGTGTGCCTGACGTAGTACAGGTCCGTTCTGGCGGTGAAGGGATGAAGCAGATGGAAAGTTTGTATGTATCGCCTCCAGCCCGTCCGGACATGAGCTTCTGGGGGGGGAGGGCAGCAGCATAGGTACAAAGTAGTTAATCGGCTACGGTTCTGGCAACAGCTCTCTGGTAAAGGTGGCAGCTACTACGAGACAACGTGCCGCCCGCCGTCGATGGAGGGGAAAACAACAGAGACGGTTCTGCCAGAGTTTTTTTTTTGTTTGTTTTTTCTGCCGCACCCCGCAGCACAGCTGCACGGGGCAGGGACGGTCACCTCATCGTGTAGGTACTTAAGTGTAAACTAGGGGAGCCCGGCCGTTGGAGGGTGCGTTGGATCAACTGAAGTGGGGGTGCCCCTCTGCACCCACCCACCATCCCTCCTCTCTCTCTCTTTCCCTCTGCCTCAAGGCAATGGAGGGGCACTCGCCAACCTATCATAGGTGCTGCCCTCAAATGCAATGCTCCTTCTTCGGAGCTCTTCGAAGCGTGGGTTGGGGGTAGGTAGGTACTACTAGTAAGGTACGTAGTGTACATAGGTAGACCCCAAGCTGTCACCTGTCAATACGTACCCCCCTCGTCTCTTCACCTCCCCCTCCAGTGTCTCCCTCTTTCATCGGCCAAATTTTGCTTGCCAAATTTCCCAAGCCTCTCTTCCTCCTCCTTCTCCTCCTGTACCTTCTTTCAACTTTACTTCCTTTTTCCAAAGTGACTTTTGGGACTCTGGGAATCTGTTACAACGCAGATTCGAGGCCTTGCTAGGAACGCTTAGCCCCCAACAGACTGACTAGTGAGTTGTCTCCCTTGCTGGCTTTATATGTTGCATCTTCAGGACCCTTCTCCGTTCTTTCCTCCTCCAATACGCGCGCCTTTTAATACCCCTCCAATTCCACCTGTACCACGCCGCCATTCCTACCCCGATACTCGTAGATCCTGTCTCACTCTCTGTCTCTCTCTCCCTTGGCATATAGCACTCTCACGCCGCATCTAAATAGCTTCAATTCCCCGTGTGCACCTACCACTCTTACTCCACCTTGCCCGCACCCCTCTTATCCATTGAGTCTCTGACAAACCTGCTCTCCAGCACCCGACGAGTATACAGCCCCCCTCTAGTGGTCATTATCCACGCTTCTTTTCCTCTCCTGAACTCTTCCGAGTTCCTTCACCGACACAACAGCAAACATGCATATCAAGTCCATGCTCGAGGAGACCCGGAGGACGGGCGAGCCCTCCTTCTCCTTCGAATACTTCCCGCCCAAGACGGCTCAGGGAGTCCAGAACCTCTACGAACGTATGGAGCGCATGTACCACTTCGGCCCCAAGTTCATCGACATCACATGGGGTGCTGGCGGTCGTATCGCCGAGCTGACCTGCGAGATGGTCCTCCAGGCCCAGTCCATCTACGGCCTCGAGACATGCATGCACCTGACTTGCACAGATATGGGCTTGGACAAGGTCAATGACGCCCTCCGCAAGGCCTACAAGGCCGGCTGCACAAACATCCTGGCCCTGCGCGGCGACCCTCCGAGAGAACACGAGAAGTGGGAGGCCACCGAAGATGGCTTCCGCTACGCCAAAGACCTGGTCAAGCACATCCGCGCCACCTACCACGACCACTTCGACATCGGCGTCGCCGGTTACCCTGAGGGCTGCGACGACAACAAGGACGAGGAGCAGCTGCTGGACCACTTGAAGGAGAAGGTCGACATGGGTGCCAGCTTCATCGTCACGCAAATGTTCTATGACGCCGACAACTTCGTCCGCTGGGTCGGCAAGGTGCGCGAGCGTGGCATCACCGTCCCCATTATCCCCGGTATCATGCCCATTGCTACCTACTCCAGCTTCCTCCGCCGTGCCAAGCACATGAACTGCAAGATACCCGACGCCTGGATGGCTGCCCTCGAGCCCATCAAGAATGACGACGTTGCAGTCAGGGAGGTCGGAAAGGGCCTTGTTGCCGACATGTGCCGCAAGATTGTTGCCGCCGGCATTCACCACTTACATTTCTACACCATGAACCTGGCCCAGGCCACGAGGATGGTTCTCGAAGAGCTAAACTGGATGCCCACGAGCGACCGCCCCGTGAAGCACGCCCTGCCCTGGAAGCAGTCCCTTGCTCACGGCCGCAGGGAGGAGGATGTTCGCCCCATCTTCTGGAAGGGTCGCAACAAGTCCTATGTGCTCCGTACTCAGGACTGGGACGAGTTCCCCAACGGCCGTTGGGGTGACTCTCGGTCTCCCGCCTTCGGCGAGCTGGATGCTTACGGCATTGGCCTGACGGGCACCAACGAGCAGAACCGGAAGAAGTGGGGTGAGCCCAAGTCTATCAGCGACATCGCCACCATCTTCGTACGCTACCTCGAGACGGAGCTCGACTCGCTCCCCTGGAGTGAGGCGCCCCTGACCAGCGAAGCCGACCCCATTCGGGAGGAGCTCATCGGCTTGAACAAGCGCGGCCTGCTCACCATCAACTCTCAGCCTGCCGTTGACGGCGTGAAATCGAACCATCCCGTGCACGGCTGGGGTCCCGCCAACGGTTACGTCTACCAAAAGGCCTACCTCGAGCTCCTAGTTCATCCTGACGTGTACGCCGAGATTGTCTCCCGCATCGAGAAGAACCCCGACATGACGTACTATGCCACCACCAAGAACGGCACCCTGAAGTACAACGCAACAAATGATAGCCCCAACGCCGTCACTTGGGGTGTTTTCCCAGGCAAGGAGATTGTGCAGCCAACCATCGTCGAAGGCATCAGCTTCATGGCCTGGAAGGACGAGGCCTTCCGCCTCGGTATTGACTGGGCACATTGCTTTGATGCCGGAACTCCCAGTAGAGTGCTGATTGAGCGTATTATGAACGAGTGGTACCTCATCAACATTGGTAAGCCCGAGAAATGATCCTGGTACAGCTGTGTCGTACTGACACCCCCTAGTCAACAACGATTTCCACCAAAAGACGGCCCTCTTCGACTTGCTCGAGGGGCTCGAAGTAAAGGAATATACCGACATTCCCCTCGAGTCCCAAACCAACGGAGCGGGTAAGGAGCAGGTGCAGGCGGCAGTGGCCAACGGCAACTCTGCCCCCATCTCCGCCAACTAACGATTCTTTCTGACTTGTGTTTAACACAACCCCCCTTTACTATTTTTCAAGTATGCTTTTCTAAGTATGCATCATGGCCGGCGTTTTCAACAGGACAAACGGATGGACGGGGGTCATTATGTGTTTTTTCAACAAAAAGACACTGTTACACAACACGGGTTCATCCACAGCATCACACAAGTGGTAAATGTGACGTCGGATGAACCAAACATTACCTACACATTAAAAAGGCGAAGAGGAAAAGGATGGGCAAGCAAAGGAGCAACTGCATCTATCTCAACGATACCCCACAAACGGACTATAAACTTTTTTCTCCAACGAAAAAAAAAAGAAAAAAAAAGTCCAGGAAACCCACATATTGCAAATAAACAGCAGAGGAGTTCAACACGGGTCTTTAATTTTCGTGTTTTTCCATAGATGGGTTGCTCTTTTTTTCACGTTTAGGATTTTCTGCGTTTTGACAGCGACACTTTTTTTTTTTTTTTGTGCTGTTGGACTTCGGGAGATGACCACGAAACACAGGGTGGAATGATTACGATCAGGAGCTTGAGCTTGGGAATGAGGAAACAGCACACAGGCAGGCAGTTGAGGTACAGACGGGCGAGAGGAGAACTTTGGCGACTAGGATATGCCATCCACCTAGTCTCTTTTCAAAGCCAAACCAACTTGTTCTTGACTGTTTCCGCAACGACTTATTCTTTCGGAGAGCCTCTCTTTTTCGGTGATCTACACGTGTCATGTGCGTTGGCGGCAGGCAGTCAATGCGCCGAAGCGGGGAACAATCAATGCGCCATACTCACGATAATCAAGTAGGGGGGGGGGTTGAGGGGGAATATGAAAGCAACATCTCGAGTTTCTAGTTTATTGCCATGTGCCTGTCCTGGTCTCGACGCCGAACTACACTACGGCCGATGGTAAGTGAGCGAGCGGCCTTGATCCGCCGAAGTCATGCATTCCCTATCCAGGCAACCCCCTCCCCCCTCTCTCCTTCCCACTAAAAGCTCCTCATGTGCCTAGCATCCGACCGCTCCTTCATACGGCGGTGCCATGATCCGCAATGGTATTCTCCCCCCCCTGAGCCTCGCAGTCACACTCATACTCCTTCCTGAAGGCTGCTACGTCCATATCCTCCAGTTTCTCGACCGCTCTCTTCGCAGCCGCAACCTTGGCATATCGGCCACTGGCCGCGGCCGCATGGAAGTGAATTTGCCCGTGTAGTATGACGCCACAGAGGACATAGGACCCAGTAATGGCGGCAGCTCCGCCCTCTTCGACGCTCGGCGCAACTTCACTCACCATCAAGCGCCACTCCTGGCATCCGAATTCGTCTTGCAGGATACGCGTGAGGTTCGTGACGGGATGACGGCTGGCGAAGGAGTCATAGAGCGCCATGTCCGTGAAAAAGGGTCGGATGTGCGCGTCGAAAAAGCTGCGAACTTGGCCGTAGTCGTAGCACGAGTCGACAAAGAGGGCGCCGATGTAGGCCTCGACAACGTCGGAGAGATACTTGGGCGCCTGCTTGACGTGTATCCAGTAACCCTGCGAGAATGTTCCGTCAGCCGCCTCGTCTTGCTTTGCGCACTCGAGCACGTTGACAAAGTCCTGGGTTTGGTTCAGGAGAGACGCGTGGCCGGACAGGACGTGCTTGTGAAGGCCCAGCTGGACGCAAAGACAGGCCAGAAACTGATTGCTGACCATGGCTGTCTTGTGCTCTGTGAGCCATTGAGGGTCGGCGTCGGGGAACTTTTTGAAAAGAAAATCCACGCAGACCATGTCAAGCAAGGCATCGCCGAGGAACTCTAGACGCTGGTAGTTGGGCAGATTCTCGTAGGCCCGGGGATACGACGGATGCTTGAAAGCACTGCGGAGGAGCGCGGGACACTTGAAGTCGTATCCCAAATTCACCTTGATCTGACGCGCCAGTTCCTTCTGCATGGCGGTCGATTGTCCAGATTGCCACGCGGAAGGGGTGTAGGCGGCGTAGTAATCTCCCCACGAGGTCATGAGGTGATTCTTGTTCTTGACCATAGCGGTTACTGCCCGGATCGCCATGTCGAAGTTGTTTGTGTCAGCATAAGACAAGTACGCCGCGCCGATGAGAGCTTCGCAAACGTCGGCAATGGACTTGTCTGCAAGGGCGTGCCGATGGTTTAGCGAACCCCCCTTGCCTCGGACAAGGCGTAGTCCTGATGGATACCAGCTGCGGCGATCGAACGACTTCGAGCGCACATACTCGGGTAAGTTCCGGTCTACGGCCTTGTTGAAGAGGTTTTGGTTGCATATCAAGAGCATACGCTCGACGTGGTATGCAAATTCGTTGTCCTCTGGGTTTTGAGTGAAGAGGGCGATGGTCGTAGCCATCTTCAGGAAGCAGTCGCCGAGGAACTCCAGTCTCTCGTAGTTCTTTCCCATTCCTCTCTGAAAGTTGATCTTGTCCTTGTCGTGCTCGTCACTGTTATCTGAGTCTTTCGTAACCGCCTCGAGGGCCAGGTCTGGGCGGATGTCGAGATCCAGAAACTTACACGCATCCAGGGCAATCAAGACCGCATCAATGCGGTGGATGATGGCAGGAAATGTGAAGGCCATGACAACAGTCTCTATGGGGAGCTGCGAACGTTAGCCCTGCAAGACATCGTCTGAGAAATACCCAACTTACAGTTGACACCCTCAGGGGCTCTAAGATAACGTAGCAGATCTTCGACTCTTCAGTGGTGACCTCCACAAAGTCGTCAAGAAGGTTTCGTTTCAGTGATACCACTTCGGCCTCAACGACAGGCTGGGTATCTCGCCACGTCCTTTTCGCTCGAGATTTCATCCACAGACTCACGCTGTACTCCTTGATGTTCTTCTCCACCTCCGGATCACGCCAGGGCCTGTGGCCAGGATCAGGCACGCCCTCTGGAACTGGGTCCGTTGGCTTCATGTCCTTACGAACTCCTCGTAGGTAAAACTTGCGAGACCCCGCATAAGGATCTATGACCAGTTTATCCTGGAAGAATTCTTCTGCGGCATCGTCGTCCCATTCTAGATATTCTCTTTCCTTCGTGTCCCGAAGATGGTCCCAGTCGATCAAGGTCGCAGCGTCTGCTCGCGCTAGGTCTCCAGAATGGTGACGCCGAGTCGGGGCGAGGAAGTAAGGAATTTTTTGGATCGGTGCCTCGTACTCCTTACTGAACACATCTTTGAAGATGCGGAAGGTAAAAGACTTCAAGAGCTCTGAATCGATTTCCGAGACTTGGATAGGCGCCGGAAGGGCAACGACGAAAGCCTCCGACTGCTGATCGTTTCCAAAGAACAGAGGAATGGCCGGAATATCGGGTAGCTTTTCTCTGGTGAGGAGTAGCAGCGGCTTTGAGTTTCTTCCGACAGCATCAGGTGTTGCGAGAACCAGTATGTTGACGTAGAGGTGGCTGAAAGGACCAAGGCGAAACCAGACGTCTGGCTTGGTTCTCATTTTGTACTCGGCCCTCTTGTTTGAACTGACTGCGAGACGAGCATTTCGCATAGCAGGAAGCTTCCTGGTGAAGACTGGTTGTAGGTTGTGATCGATATATTTCTTCTTGATCAGTTCCTTGCACATCTCGAATGCGGCGGAACAGCGGGCAGCCTGCTTGTTACTTTGTGGAAATCCTGCAATATGCATGATCGGAGACCTTTCCGGTAACTGGACTTCTGCAACGAAAGTCTGTCCCTGATTGATGACGACGTACTCCGGGGCGCATACCTCATCGTTGGATTGGCGCAAGGAAGCGGCGAAGTTTGCTAGCACCTCGAGGCTAGAGGTCCACGTCAATACGGCACCGGTGGACTTAATGAGATAAGATTTGTAGTGCAAGTCTCCCTTGAGAATGCTGGCCTTGACGTCAAACCCCATGATCTTTTTGTCCTCGGGCAGAGCATTGCAGAAGCGGCGCAACACGCTCTGATCATACATAGCCTGCAACACCATACGGGCTTGTCTTCCATTGCCGCCCTCAATGAACGAAATGTACTCTGAGTCCTGCCGTCTCGCGCGCCCCTTTGATTGGATGTACTGAATCACCGACTTGTAAAGATCAAATCGCATGATGAGGTTGCAGTCGGGTATATCAAGCCCTTCTTCAGCAACCTGAGTGGCGAAGAGACAATTGACCTCTGCATTCCTGAACCTGTGAATTGTCAAGACTTGTTGCTTGAATGACATATTTGCAAGTCCCGTATCTGACTGGCTGCCAACAAGTACTGCCGGGTTGAGACACGAGAGCTTGATATGATTCTGCTTGAAAAGATCTGCAAGCAGTACGGCCGTGAGTCTCATTTCCACGAAGACAATGCAACGATATTTCGGTTCACTTGTGAAGCGGAGTCTGAGCTCTTCCCACAGTCGCAGGACTTTTATCGACACTTGGTCCAGAGTCGGCGTGGCGGGTTTGAATTCATGAGTCCGGATAACATCTCGAAGTTTCTGAACTGCCGCAGTCTCTCTGTCGTCGGAGAAAAGGCTAGAATGGCTCATTTCGGTTCGTTGTGTCAGCCTGACAATTGTCTCATCTGTCAGGAAAAGTTGCCAGAAACGATCCGCCGCCCAAGGGCCAAGAGAAGATGTTGCAGCCTTTGCAAAACATAGCTCTTTGCTGAAGTGCTGGTTGCGACCCACGAGGGCGTTGATCTTCTGGTATAACTCTGTCTCGTAAGGCATAGGGAGACTGCTGTAATGGATTTCCCTTTCCGTAATCTTTCGAATATGTGAATCCCTAGAGAGTGACTCCTCAGACACTGTTGCGATCTCGCTATGAAGAAGGCACTCAAGCTGGGCGGTAGCAATCTTGATGTCAGTCTGAGCGTCGACGGGAGAAGCCGTCATACCGAGGATCCTCGGTCGCTTGTTTACATCAGGCTCCTTTATGTAGAAATCCTTGATGATACGAGCGTAAGGGTGGTTCTTCTTGGTATGATGAGCTTCGTCAAAGATGAGGAGGTTGATCTGCTCCATGCGGATGTATGAGTGTGTCAAGCATTTCTGAAAAATGGCCGCGGTGCAGACGATGACCATGTTGTCTTCGAATTGCTGAGCCCAAAACTCACGGGACCACATTTCGTCGACCATGTCACCGCAGAAGCGGGCGACTGGGTGCTCCAAGTTACAGTCGAGAACGGCATGCTGCTGGAATACAAGAGATACCTTGTCCACCTGTATAGACCGTTAGTTGAGCGTAATCAAAATGGGACCGAGTCACTCGCTAGAAAGAAGGCAATGCGTTTTTTCTGTCCAGTCGCGCGGTCTTCAATCTCCTTCTCGAGAATGTGGCGAAGCAGCAAAGCAGCAATCAAGGTCTTGCCAGATCCAGTATCCAAGACCACGATGGTGTTTTTGCTCTTGGCTCTCTCAAAGAGCTCGATTTGATATTCACGCGGAGTCTGGATGATTCTGAACCTTTCGTTCTCCTGCTTCAGTAGGTGCGCAGCGGATCCGAAGTTCGGCTCCTTAGACGCCTTAGGGCCTGCTTCCAGCACCTTGTCTTGGTTCGACTCGATCCAGGATTGGAACTTTGCATAATCACGCCGCTTTTTCTCTGATATTTTGCGGGGTCGCTCTGGATTCAAACTCCAGCGGAGGTATTCGTCTTCGTCTTCAACAAGACCGCGATCCTCTCCGTCTTCGTCCTGATTTTCGAAGTTGGCGTCGGAAACCGGGCTCTGGCGCGGGGAAGCCACCGAGAGGGACACGGGAGAATATTCCTTCATGTTTGAGGTCATCACATCCTGTGTAGAAGGCTTTGAGGTCATAGAGTGTTCCAAAAGACGCGGCCCTAAGCTTACCTCGAAATCAACGAGATAAGTAGGCGTAGAGAATGAGTTGTCGACGCTCTGGGCCTTGCAAGCGTCCATATCTGGAAGAAGAGTTTGTGTACCGGGCCCATTCAATGCATGGAACTGAGTACCTATGCTTGAATGGTATCTTGTCGAAATTTGAGGCTCTATGTCCGAGAGAGGGGTATGAGTTGAGGCCCATACAAGGGGGATGGACGAGTGAGAAAGAGCGTTGAGGAGTTGGAAAAGAACTGTAGCGAGTTGCTCGAGTTCTTGAAGTGTGGGAAGGAATGAGAGGGGGGAGGGGGTATAGGTGAAGGATTACTATCTTTCTGGGAGAGATTATTCCTCGGTACTCTATATCCTAGATTGTGGCCATAGACGCACCAAGGAAAATGAGAGGCAGTACAGGACTGAGTGTCGGAGGGCGAGAAAGGATTTTGTATCCGTTCAGAGGAGGCACCTAGTGGAAACGCAGGCCGCAAGGACGCAGAATGTTCCAAGCGTGCCTTCTCTCGATATGGATATGGATATGGGTATGGATATGGATACGACAATGGCAACGGGAAGCCGCACAAGGCAGGAGCAAACAAAAACATCCAAACAGTGAAGTTGCCGGGGCCTCCTGCCCCAAAACACTGTCCCCAAGTCCTTTTTTCCAATCATCAGACCACTATTAGGACATGTCGGCAAGAATGAATCTCCCACCATCCGAATGTACATATATGTTCAGACACATGATGATCGTGATGCATTGGTAAAGGAGCGGAAGAAGAGGGATCCCAGTGAATGCCGAGTTGGCTTTACGTTCTTCGTGAAGTGGCTCCACTAACTATTTGCATCACATGTGTATTGTTCTCTCAACTTGAGACAGCTTCTTCAGCAAGACAGGACGAGCGGCCTCGCCGACTGCTTTTTTTCTTGGGGCAGGGCATTCAGGGCACGGTAGTTTCAAGGGTAGCTAGCTAGCTCAGAGGTTAGATATTGGATATATGTAGCAAATACTCCGATTTTCCTTCTGAAAAATTGAACACTGCAAAGTAAATACGCCAATACAGCCCAACAAGTAGTGATAAATTCTGATGGGAAGGGAGTTGGGCTCAGTTGTAGTAACGAGGAAGAAAGCGGTGACGATTGCCAGGGTGAAGTCATCTCGTCAATTTCCGCGACGTATGTACAGCATAGAGCTCTGCTGGTCTGGACCCCTGTCGCCACCCCACCTCCATCCAACCCAGCTCCCTCTAATTTAGATAAGATAAAGACCCTGCCGAGCGGCGCAAATCGCCACCAAGGAAATGTTTAGCGTCCCTTTCACTTGTGCAGGTAGTGGTAACAGACGAAGTACAACCCCCACAAGAATCAAACGTCAACACATTTAGATACCCTGATCGCCACTACAGCTTTCACGACATTTGCTAGTCACAACGTTGCCCCCTCCCGTCTGGCGCGAGGCTCATAACGTCGCCATCCCCCCTTCACCCCTCCACCTCTCACAGACGATACTCCCCACCTGGACACCTCCCCTTTGAACGACACGCACTACGCCAAAAACCGAACTGCCGCAGCCATGGTCGACGAAGACAAACCCCAAACTCTCAAGTCCGTCTTCGCCTCGGCTGAAAGGAAGCGCCTCGTCCTCGAGAACTCGTACGAGGCCTCCTCGCCAACCTTCCTTGACGACCTCCGCAACGCAATCTCCGAGTACGAGACCTGCCTCGACCTCGTCTCCCGCGCCGCCCTCTTCTCCCCAAACGAGTCCCTAGAGGACCTCTCCACCACCTCCCTCGCCTACCTCCTCATCACCGCCCACCTTGCCGAGCTGCACCAGAAGCTTCCCTCGCGCCGCCCCATCGAGCGGCGCGTCGCCCTCGAACGCGCCCGCGAGTCCTATGAGACCTTCCTCGGGTCCCTCGACTCCTACGACCTGCTCTCCCCGCAGCAAAAGACCCTCTACAACCAATATACCGACGAGCCCCTCGCCTTCACGACCCTCGGCACCAACGACCCGGCCAAGCGCCGCGAGGCCAAGATCGCAAACTTCAAATCCGAGCGCGCCCTCCGCGAGCGGCTTGACACGCTGCGGCGGAACCCGCGGTACCAGAACGAGGACGGTGATGACGAGGTTGTCCGCGACCTTCACCTCGCCCACATTGCGTATGCGGCGCACATGGCTTTTCAGGGCCTGGAAGGCATCAACCGCGAGCTCGAGGTTCTAGCCCAGGCCTCCGTGCCCTTGATGCCGTCCCAGACGTCCGTGGAGGAGGATGAGCGACGCCGCGCGGCGGAGCGTGGCTCGGACGGCTACAGCGAGCGTCTCGAGGCCCCGCGCCGGCTGCAAAGCCTATTCGGTCAGCGGGGAGGTCCGATATTGTCCAAGGACGGCAAGCCGCTGCAGCCCTTCACACTCGTTGGAAACCGGGCGCAGATGACCGCGGACGTGTTCCGGCCGGGCCACAACCTGCCGACGATGAGCATTGACGAGTACCTCGAGGTGGAGCGTGAGCGGGGAGGCATAATCGAGGGTGGCGGTGACGCAAGCTGGCATCGGCCGGAGCCGAACGAAGACGATTTTGACAAGGCGGATGAGGAGACGATGAAGGCAAGAGCATGGGATGAATTTGTCGAAGCGAACCCCAAGGGCTCGGGCAACACGCTGAACAGAGGTTGAGCCCAGTGATTAGGCCCAGAGATGGGTTTCTGTGTAGCCAGATGGAAAAACATGATGGCGGTATTTCACGATTAGAGACAAAGAAAGAAAGAAAAAAAGACAAGAAAAGAAAAGGAGGGAGAATACCACGTTGCGACATCATAGGGCGTGTGCATGATGTCCACAAGGGATGGGTTTTGCGGCACCCCTGTACTCGATACAGCACGATGAACACATGCTACATTTGGAAGATTGTCTGGTCTCGTTTATTGCCAACAACCTATTATTGGCTGTGTGCCTTCGAGGACAGCCCCCTTTTCCCTTGTCCTCTTACTGTCCCCATGGACTTGTTACCCATACTCGTCTGCAGTGCGAATCGTTAACCCCTCCCGGGACACCAGGAAGACAATATTCGCCCGCCATGTTGTTGCTGCCCTCTTCCAGTTCCTCTTCCCCGCTGCTCGTCCAACTGTCTAGACCATGACCAGGTCGTCGTCGTCGTCGTCGAAGAAAAGAGAAGAGGATGTCGCACCCTCGACAGAGGGTGCAGTTGAGGACCGACCGCCACCAGGCGCCATGTCCCGCGCCTCGGAGCTTGCCACGACATACTCTGGGGTCTCCTCCCGGGAGCGGCTCTCGTCAGGATCAACTTCCGTCATGGCCTCGTTCGTGTCGTCGTTCTCCTCCTCGAAGTTGACGCTGGCACCGGAATTCGACTGGTCGGGAGCTTCGTCGAGGACCGCGGCGCTGAACGCGTCGGCAATGGACTGGCCATCGGCGGGCACGGCGTACCTCGCGTTGCCATACTCGGACTCTCCATCCGTGAACGATTCCGTGCGGATTGACCGGTCATCGGCCACCACCTTCGCCGGGTTGAGGACGGTCGAGATGCCGTCCTGTACGTCGATGCTGCCGGGACCGATGGTACTCCCTCCTTCCAAACGAAGATGCCCTAGCACGCTGCTGATCGAGCCTGATGTGCTGGAAGCGTCCGAGGGGATCGTGACGCCGGTGTGATAGACCGGGCCCGGGCCAGCCGGTCCATAATCGGCTGGCGGTAGGGAGTCCTCGAAAACCCCGCCGCTTCCGTCATCGTTTCCGCCGGCCCAGAGCGGTAGGAACTTCAGTTCGTTATGGTGTAGGTTGAGTAACAGGTGTGGCGTCACCTCCATCTTAATTTCAAAGTCGGCACGGTTACACTCCTGGTGGAAGGGCACAAGGAAATCGTGGATGGACACTTCAAAAGCTATGTCGTCGAATGCCGCCTGCGGGCTGTCGTAGATGGTGCTGGAAAATCTTTTCGCGCTAATGTCATCAAAGACTGTCTGCGGCAAATTGAGCAGCTCTCTGCAGGCTGGGTCCTGACCCAACTCGGTGTGATTTCTCACAAGCTTCTCGAGCGCAATCCTCAAATCATTTACCATAATTTGAAAGCGGCGACGCTGAGGGCCTATGGAGAAAACGCAGGCAATGCTGGACCACTCGACGCCGACAGCCTCGTACACGAATGAGCACAGAGCTTTTTGCACATTGTTGAACCGGTAGTACACAACCTCAAGAGGGACGAAGTGCCGAACATCCACGTAAGTGGCGCGGTGGTCGTCGGCTTTTCTCGATAAAAGAGAGTCGAGGGGCTTATGGAGCAAGTTGTGGACCACAATGTCGTTCCATGTGTTTCTCAAAAACTTAGCCAAGCTGAGCGCGTGATATTTGGCCGACCGGATAGACTTGTCGTCGGGGTAGTTGGAGAGCATGCCGATGAGGTTCTGCAACCGCAGCCATTCGGGATTTTGCATGTCATCAAATATCGTCTCGCTGACCAACCGATTAACCAACCCCGACACGCGCTCTACCATGGCCCGGGCCGCATGCTGGATGAGGTTATTCAGATCATCACCAGGGTCGTGACGCCTGCGACCAAAGACAGTGTACGCGGCCGCCTTGGGTGTGCCATTCGGCCTAGCGGCCTCCTCGAGAGCCAGCTCGTTCACCAAGATCCGAAAGGCGGAGCGCGTGATTTGGTCCAGTCTCAGAGCCACGCCCATTTGGAGGCTTTCCTCGGGCAAGACCTCGATGAAGACCGTATTGTTGGGGCTCATAATCCACTGGAGAACGGGGTCGCGCTGGAAGTGGCGTCAATACGGACGCTGCTGTCATGAGCATAGGGTAGACAAATGTACTCACAAGCACGCTCGTGCAGTCGAAAATCTTCGCTACAGCCACCAGAGTCCATGCCAGAGGCGCGGAATCGATAATGACCCGTTTGCCCGCGATGAGACACATGAGACGGAGGATGTCGACGCGATGGCGGACCGGGCAGTAGTCCGGTATCTGGCGGTAGGTAGGGCCCAGCTCGGAGGTGAAGTCGCCCTCGGACTTCTTCTCTAATACCTTGGCGGCTAGACCGGTATTCGATGCATGTTTGGGCCTCGTATAATGGGGCTTAATATCGAGTTGGAAGTTCTGCGAATTGGCCTGTTTGGTGCCTTTATCCAGGTCAGGATTCAGTCCGAAGACGTCGTAAACGGCAAGATCCGTCTTTTGCTTCTGGTTATGGTCAGCGTCGGTTGCTGAATTCTTTCCATCGGCAATGTCGGGATCGTCAACCATTTTGGGAACCATTTCTCTCCAGCAAGAACAAACATCGTCGTGACCGGAAACAACATTGGCGTCAATACCGTGCTTGTCGTGAGCGGTCCACCATTTGATGATGCCTGGGGTCAACGATACCTCAGTCATTTGAAAAACGAGTTCGTCACCCTCGGAGGGGGGAGTGAGGTCCAGAACATACTTGACACCCTCGGGGAGTTTGTTGACAAGCTTTCGTCGACGCTGCACACGAAACTGGTACGTCGGGTTAAGCATCTCAGAGAATTTGGAGGAGCCGGTGTCCAGGAGCTTCTGAGAGTGCATACGAAAATGAACCGAGTTCCAAGCATACAAGTAGCAGTCGATGCCAGCTGATGGTTCGGAGTGAGTAGAGAAGTCAACGAACACCAGTGTATCTCCTTCGTAGAGTTCGCCCTGGATGTCGTGTAGGATAAACTGGGAGTAGCGGCGTTCCTCGTTGTACGTCATGTCGTGCCGGGGAGTCTGCAAATCTGTGTACGCGACGGCTCTCATTGCTGGCACAGGAACGGCGGGCTCAGTGATGTCAATGTTTTCGAGGCTGTTTCCTCCTGTCGGCGTGGAGTAGTGTTGCTCAGAAGCAGGCTCGTCCTCTAGAGCCTCTTCCCACCCCAAGGGAAGATTTATTATGTCGTCTTGTTGAGTGTCCATGATTTGATGACGGAGTGTGAGATGCTACGGAGCCTGCTGTGGGATGGTACTGCAAGAGCCTTCCAGCTTGGTTGCTTCTGAAGACGAAGGCCAGACGCAGCGATGGTGGTCAACGTGTGGTTGGTGGTGAAGATGTAGGCGAACAAAGTGAGGCTTCGGGGCGGCTGGAAGGACTTGGACCGAGAGCGGCGTTGTCAAGACCAGAATTGTCGCACATGAGCTCTCGCTGGCAGACACGTCAGGTTGCGAGTCGGGTACCGAAAGATGAATGTGGTGGTGATCAGAGGGTGGCGAAGCCTTCCTAGGCAGCAAGGCCTCGAGGAGTCAGATGTCAATTAGGAACTGCCCAGACCCCACCAAGAACCCGTGTGTCGGCGTGCCAAGGTCGCTATTCAAAATCTCCAACCTGTGAGAAAGGTGGCAGTGAGAATGGCAGAATCAGGTGTCGCTCGTCCTGTTGTGCAATTGATCATCCAGAAAAGCGAGGTGAATACCCCCCGAAGTGCATGGAAATGCGACGGGATAAGAAGTCAAGAAACGAGGTGTGAAGCTAGAATGGAGAGGGGAAGTTGGGTAATGGGGCATGTTAGCTGGGCGCAAAATGCAATGCACCGCGGAGGGTGGACAGAAATGCGGTTGGAAGACAGCCCGTGACCTGCGGCTGACCAGCTGCCTCAAGGGATGGCAAGTGTTCTGATTCATCTGTGGCCGTCGCAGCTACGCCGCTCAATGAAGCCTTTGCCGCCAGAGCTATTTGCAGTCACTCCAATCTCACCTTGAGCCAAGATGCCAAATTGTCTTTGTAGACAACATGAGCACGAGCCAGGCATCGTCATTTGAAGCAGCCTGGCCGTGCACTGAGCGAATGCCGAAAGACGGCAGTCTTGTCCGTCTTGTATTTGTCACGGGTCCGAGAAGTGAAGCCAAGAAGCCAGGCAGCATGTGCGGTCAAGATGCTACGGATGTGGGGGATCGGGTACCCACGGGCATGATCATGATCTCTGAAAGTCGATCTTGGCCAGAACAAGTCGGCTTTCGTGTATTTGGCTCCAGGCTCGTAGGTATAATAATAGCGGAGAAATCGAGACGTTACGGTACAAATGTTCAGGCCCTTGCTGCTGCCTGCGTGCCAGACTACCCGCTCAGAAAGCAAATAGTGGATCAGCGGGTACGCCCATATGCGAACCGGTCCGTCTTCAATCATCGGGCGGACTGGGACAAGAGTCAGCAAGGGGCGCGCCTACAAAACCCGCTTCGAGAACGAGACCAGTTCGGCTCTTCCATAGCTTGCGCAATGTCGGCAGCAGAAAGGATCGCTACTGTGATGGATTGCTGTCTCCATGCATTATCTAACTTAGCTATATACCTAGGTAGGTATCTGAAGTTAGCAGGCGATGCTCCCCAGAGACTTGGCGGTTAGGGAAGCCGAAGCCCGGCGCCAGCACCGACTCCGTCCCGTTCGGGCTCTGTTGGAAAGCTCGGCACTGCAGTCAACCGCGTCACGATCGGAGTTCGAGGCAAGGTTCCTAGGTAGGTAGTGTCGGTTAATGGACATGTTCATTGCCCTGCTCCATATTGCACTCATTCAGGATATAGGCACAGTCTTGGAGTAAAAACTTGTTCGGCCCTGACACAACCGATCTGACCGCCTGGCTGTTTGGGAAGCCATCCCCCAGGAAAGCATGTCCTGCGGTTCAAACAAAAACGAATACTCTGCAAGAAAATAATTCTCAGAGACCAAGCCCCAGCAAACTTACCTTGCCGACCCAAGATACCATTAAAATTTAGGTCGGCAAACTACCTAGTTAAGGTACTCACTCTGTAAGCCCGGGCCCACTACGTATCGTAGCTCCCCCGCATGTCCCCGGGCCCAAGCTCCCAACCTTGGTTCTTCTCGTCCCGATATCCAGAGCTTTCTCCCTTGCTTCCTGCCAGCTGAAACGTCGCCCAATTCCAACCAACATACGGATATTGGTAGTTTAGTGGTACATGCGCTCGCTCTCCAACTCGCCTGCATGCAACTTGCATACACTGGCCCCACCTCAAGCCAACATCAACATCCCCCGTCCCTATTATCCTCGCTAGCCTGCGCCTTCTCACCCTTGAAGCATTGCACGCATGCACTCCTTCCCCAATCATCTTCCTGTCCAGTCAGCCCATCATCAGCCCATGAGCCCACGGCAAAACAATGTACAACCCAAACACGCGTTCATTCCCAGGCGAGCAATCCGCTAATTCCATCTACCGTAGCTCAGTACCGCGTCACCATACCCGCATTCCAGACCCTCCTCAACTGCCATGCTTCTACTTGCATTCTACTTGTAGTTTACTTCTACCCCCACCATAAAAATAAAAAACAAGACCCTTGGCTCGGCAATCATCCGCTCTTATTCCTCATGTTTGAGTTTCACCAGGGTATCCCTCGTCTCACCTCACGGTTTGTATGGGCTACTCATCGTGTTAGTCATGATAGTGCAGCGGTAGGCCGAGGCCTAGAGCTAGGTCATGATGCAAATCGTCCGATCCAGACGGCTCTCACCTACTAGTCCGAAAGCTAAGAGCCCTCTTCCCCATCCTTCCCCAACAGAAACGAGATGTTTGCCCCTCCTCCACATACACTAACATGCCAATGCCCCCGAGAATCTGGAGAGGGACTAGGACTACCATGGCACGCGCCGAGGACATCAAGCGTCCACCTACACGTACTTAACTCGATCCCCCTCCCCTCATCCTCAAGCCCATACAGTAATACTACTTTCCACAGATTTCGCCTGTTTCCATCGTAGAACACCCCAGATAATCCTGAATCTATATACCTACTCAATAAACACTCAAATACAGTCCTCCATCATGCCGTCAAGGCCACCAAAAACGCCCATTGTCGCCTTCCCCCACATCCACGTCCCCCCCGCGATGTACGTTACCCCTCCCCTTCTTCCTCCCTTGGCTGTGCAACATTACCAGAACCCCTTCGGCAATCATCACCCCGAACCGACCCTGGCACTCTCCCTCCTACAGAGCGCTCCGGTCACTGACAGTCAGCAGCCGCCACCACCGGGGTCTCATCCTCACAACCGTCGCCGTCACGGCCGTCGCCGCCAGCTTCCGCTACACCGCCATCTCGAGGAGGACGAACGAGCAGAACCAGTGTTCCAGCAACCCATACTATGTGAGCGTCGACCGGAGCGGGGGTGGCATTTAAGTCTGACCATCGGCCAAACTTGAACCCAAAGAGGAGAAGAAAAAGAAAGAAAGAGAGAGAGACGGGGGGACGACCCTCCGCCAGCGGTCCAGAACCGCAATTTCCTCGACCAAAAATGGCACAATATGCTATAAGAAGAAAAGAAAAAAAACCCCCAACGGCTACGGGACGGAAGTGATCCGGTGCAGGTAACACAAAGTGGTGATGTACACGGGCACGGGGGCAATACGCAGCGAACCCACGCCACGATTTGAGGGCGCCCACTCGCAGAGCATCGCCGAGTGATGGATGGGGCATGAAGAGACGGACCTTTTTAGTATTTTCGAGTACCTAGGAATACAGGAGACTCGGAGGGCATGCAGGCGATGAGAACCACAGGTCAATTCATTCAGATTTTGTAACCATCTAAACTAAACGCACCCCCAAAGTGTCATTACTCACTCCCATCTACATGTCCAAATGCCAATCGCGGCCAGCTCACAATGTATGTGCGGCATGCTTCGCAAAAACACAATAAAAACGCATAAAAGAACAATGCTCCAGGCGCAATCCCGCCTGGATCCAAACGCCCCGACGATGCGATGCACTGAACCAACCCATGACCGAGGTATAGCGCGCCGGAAAAGAAAATGCCCAGCAAATCAAAACGCGTCTCCCCTTTTACATCGAGCTCTGCTTAATCGGTGACATGCTCTCACTGTCGGAATCGTCGCCTGAAGAGAGCGCCGGCTCCTTGCCCTTGCCCCTTGCCCTTTCCGACTTGGGGTCCAACAGACTCTTACGGCTCGCCGGGCGCTTGCCCGTCGTCCTTCTCACCCCCAACTTGGGTCTCTCACTGCCGCCGTCTTTGTGCCGTGTGGCTTCTGCGCTCGTCAGGCTTGCCAACTTCTGCAGCTCTTCGCCCGAAGAGTTGCGCCTAGTGGTGGGAGCAGTCGAGCTTGACGTGGTCTTGAGCTCGCGCAGCTCCTTGGCAACGTCTGCAAAACTCTCTTCCAGGGTCTTCATCCGTGCCAAGACAAGCTTGCTCATTCGATTGCTGTCCCCGGAATCCGTGCCCCTTCCTGCCCCGCCCAGTCGTGCATCCTTCATCAAAGCCATAGCCATCTGTGTTTGGAAACTTGAAGATATCCCACCCCCATTCGGGTCGTCGGGTACGATGTTATCCGATAAGACGCTCAGATCAACCGAAGACAGCCGTCTAAGAGGATTTGGGCGGAGTCGCTGGTCGACGCTTACCAGACCAGCGCGGTTTGGCGCCGTCTGCGCCGCGTCTCGAGGCGGCAGGATGGGACGGGGCTTCGTGGTTGTCACGTAAGTCTGCCGGCGCGGCGAGCGGTGGCCACTAGCCACAGCCGGTTCAACTACCGCAGGACGCCCATTCTGCACACGTGCACGGGTCGGCGGTGGATCGGGCGAATGAGTCGACGAGCTAGGCGGCCGTCGCAGCTCCTGCGGTGCGTATAGGATGGTGTTGGTTGACATCGTCCGGCTGTGTGGCACACGACGCGCAGAGCGAGGAGTGGCCGCTACGGACGGTCTTCCACTTGAGCCCAATGACGACGGAGTGGGTGGAACGAATCGCTTCATCGAAGGCGTCGTGTTGAAGTAGTCGTCAATTGAGGTTTGGTGGATGACTGGGCCATGACGACTGTCGTCTGCATTCGTCGCCATGTCTTCTTCCTCTTCCTCGTCGTTTGTGACGAGCTCGTCATCCCCGTCGGCGTCCGTTTGCTGGCTCTCCTCATCTTTGGCTTTGGTGGCCGCGGCTATACCCCTGAAGAAAGACCCGATGGCAGGCTGCGAGATAAGATCTGCTGGGTCGCTAGCCGCTGATCTGACATCTGACATCTGACGTGACCGGCGCGTCCTAAGCTCCCTCGACAGGCTCAGCCTCCTAAGCCAATCCGGTCGAACGCCCTGGCTGCCATCCAGATTTGGCCACTGGGAGAGTTGCGGAGAAGCGCTGGCTTCGTCGTTCCGATCCATCCAGTTCCGGACCGCGTGCTGGGTTTTCTTCCTCTCGTTGCGTCGCTGATTGCGCAGAGTAGCAAAACCGGGGCCTCGCCGGAAGACCTCTTCAAGAGCATGATCCTTCTGGTACCCAGCGACCGATTCTTCGCGGACCCGGATGTTGGGGCTGAACAAAGCAGGCCGGCTCGCCGGGTCTGCGAAGGAGATGGTCCTATCCCGTCCGTGGTGGTGATGATTTTCGACTAAATCCGTAGGCTCGTACATGGACGGAGCGAGCCAGTACTTCTCGTACAAAAAGATGCAGAACAGAAGAGGGAAATGTGTCACTTTGATGATGGTCCTGTTCAGCTTTACAAACTGTTTCAGGGGCATGCAATATCGCATGGGCATGAGGAGCCATGCGAAGATGTTTCCCGGCGCAACGTATGAGAAAAGAGCATCGTTCTTGACCATGGAGATGGTATTGATGGCAAAGAGGAATCTGGTTACGTGAGCAGAGTGATTGCAGAGAAATTCGGGATCAACTTACTGATGTTCCTCCCTAGCATTGGAGGCAATCTTCATGAAAGAATTTGTCAAGACCGTGATGAGGATGGTGCTGGGTTGGTCAGCAAAAGATGGCTGTTTTCAGGAGACGGGACAGGCCTACACGATGACGAAGTGACAAAGGATCAAGAAAAAGGCCATCAGGCCCCTCTCGAGCCAGTTATACCCTGGCCAAACCTCCCAAGCAGCTGGAGTAAAGCCCATCAAGATCTGGAAGATCCTGAAGGCGATGTCGCCCGCGTCATTGTTGATATCAGCAAGGGTGAAGAAAACAAAGAAACCACTGCAGCAAATAAGAATCAGAATGCAAACGGCTGCGAGGTCAACCGCCATCAAGCGGAAGGCGATGAGCAGCTGAGAGAAGTACTGGTAATGATCCAGCACACTGAAGATACGGGGAAGCAGCAAGATGGCATTCGCCGCGAGAACATCGTAAGCAGAGTCATTCCAGTGCTTTGCGTTTACGAGGAATACCCCGTAGACACGCATGAAGTAGTAGACGATCAACAACAGCAGGATCCCCAGATCGAAAGCGTTCCAGAAGCTCATGATGTAGAGCGAGAAACCCTGTTCGTTGAATCCGACCAGCTCATCCAGCATGAACCCGGCACTCCAAAACCAAAATATCAATTCCAGCGAGCTAATGCGGGCCGAACGTTGAGCAAGAACCGCAAGGAACAGGCCGATGAGGACGAGTAGCGACATGGTCGAGAGAAAGAACCTATAGCGTGGCACACGGAGACGCGACAGCTTGAACAGAGAGGCCTGGCGAGGATCATAAAGAATGACACTCCGCCGCCCAGGAGCCGACTGCTGCTGCCCCTCCTTCTGGTTGTGCCCGCCTAGCAGTGGCGTTCTCGCATCAGGCCTGATGCCAGTAGGCGAAGGAGGTGGCTCGCGATGCAAGCTGTCTGCGGACGAATAGAAGCTAATGGCACCGTTCCAGATAGCCTCGAGCTGTTGCACGACCAAAGGATGGGCCAAGAAGTGCTTGGCGGAGGCGCGGATGGCGACTTCGAGTGTAGAGGTTCGTGACGCGGTGAGGCGCGCCTTGTTTCTCGGGTCGGCCTTGGGAGTGATGGCAGGCTGGGCGCCGGGAAGCCCCTGGAGGGGGTAGAAGTCGTACGAGAGGGCGTCGATGAGCTCGCGGGTATTGTATTCCTTGAGGAGCTTGAGCGCGAGGAGTTCGCAGACCAAAGCCCTCGTATAACTGATACCAGCATTGCCTGGGTACATATGGCCCTCTTTGTTGAACTGCAGACAGTTGGCCATAAGACAGTACAGGGTGGCGCGGTTGAACTGCTGAGTCCTGATCTGCTGCTGCATGGGCTTGACCAGGAACTGGGATACCTGGGGGGAGCGTATTTGATCCCATGTTAACGTCGTTTCGGTTCGGGCCTGGACAATGATGCGAATCGCGTGGGTAATGCTGTATATGGGCAGGGAGTCTAGAAACCGGTGTCAGCTTTTGCCTATAGGAGAATGGGCGCAGTCATAGGAGGCCAGATGGGCTGTCCGTACCAAGGTATGTTGACGAGAAGAGAGGAAGAACGGGCATGGAGCGGCGGCTAAGATCCTCGTCGTCTACATGTTCATTGTCGTCCCCAGAATGGCCCAGGCCATCATCCTCCTCGTCCTCCTCCTCTTGGTCATCTTCCCCCTCGGTAAAGTCTCCTGTGGCGCGTCTCGGGGGTTCGCCGACGTAGTGGCGATAGGCAGGGCCGGGGGAAGGCGATTGCCTATCATGGAAACGGTCGATACGACGGCTGCGATTGCTCTGCTTGGGTCGCAGCAGAGAGGGAAACATTGTCCGGTCGGAATGAAAGATGCAGCCCGCCTCCTTGTACGATCGCGTCTTACAGCGCCATAGAGAAGCAAAAGGGAGCAAGTCGAAAGGGTGAGAAGTGGATAGGGGGCTGTTACCGCTGTTCACGCAGGAGCCGTTTCGGGTTGCGGTAGCGGGAGATGGAGAGAAAGAGAGGCCGGGGAAGCAACGACCGGCCAAAGAGAGGCAAAGAAGGCAAAGGTGAAGAAGAGGCGAATAGGTTAGGGCAGGATGAGGTGGACGACAACGGTAAGTAAATAGGAGGGTTACAGTCCAGGCCGGATAGGTAGGCTAAGGGTCGGCACAGCCAATATAGGGTTCCCCGTGGTCGTGACGAAGAAATCGATGCAACGTTTTGTGGAGAAGCCGGTAAAGGCCTTGCCAATTACGATGGAAAGACAAGAGAGAGAGATAGAGAGGGGGAAAGAAAGGACGGCACAAGACGGACAGGTTGGACCGGAGTGAGTGAGGGGAAGGAGAAAGCTACTGCATAAAAAATGTTTAGGAAGAGACCACGGCAAGCAACAGGCGCGTGGAGCGCAGATCGAGATTCACCGAGGACGATGCGAGTTTTAGCGTAGTTGGACAAGTAGAGTGCTAAAAGGCGAGAGATACTGTATGAGGCAGTCGACGCCGGCAGGGGGGGCAAGGAGGCAAGACGAGGCTAGGCCACCTAGGTAAGTAGGCGAGGCGAGGCACTGCACTGCACTGCACGGCAAGGCAAGGCAAGGCAAGGCAAGGACAAGACAGGACGGGGGTTGGACCAGACTGCGGATACCTGGGTAAATGTCATGTACGTGTGCGGATGGATGTACGCACGTATGTACGTGATGCACCCCAGGTGCAACTGCAAGAAATTAGAGCGGCGATGGCCCTGCATTGCATGACGACGAAAAGAGTCGGTGACGGTTGCGTTGGACAGGATGGCCTGCGATACGGAGTCCTGATGGGAAGGGGAGAGACCATACACGACCGTTTCTCACCCTCCATAACGAGCTACGACTCAGAGATGGATGGACAACTCTGCGTCTGCAACTTCACACAAGTTTAGCAACAGTGGACAGACAGGGAACAGGGGACAGCAGAGAGAGAGAGAGAGAGAGAGAGACGCGGCGCGGCGCGCCATAGGAGCCAAGTGGAGTTGCCCATCTTTTTTCTTTCTTTTTCTTCCTTTGTCGCGAACATGGCGGTGCCCAGTCCAGTATGCGACTCTGCGTATTCAAGATCCAAGGTTCGCCTGCGTCAAGATTCAGGAATGGGCTAGCGCAAGATCCTTTAGGGGTGGGAGTGGGTGGTTTGGAGACTTTTGGACCTACCTAGGAGGCCGGCCTCTAAAAAGTGGTTCGGTCCAGCGTCTGGCGCAGTGCGCCGCCAACCAACGTGCTGCGAACGCTGTCAGTGGCCCGCCCGCTGCGTGCCAGCGAGCGCGCTCGGCCTGGAAACTCTTGCCAGCCCCTCGCGCCGTAACTGGGGCCAGTGCTCGTGCGAAATGACACAATAAAAAAAGGCCCGGGGGGAGCTGCACGATTGCGTTGACATTGTTGGCTACCCTGGATGCCGATCTATCCTCTAGGCTGTGCGGCTAGACCACCGTCGCCGTTGTCAGGGCTAGCTGCTAGCTAGGACAACGGAGCACGTAACCCCCCAAAGAGGATTAGCATCAGTCCAGCCACGACGCATATATCGACATGACTTTGCTTGGAAAAGAACAAACAAGATGGGCCAAGTGTGTGGGGGGGGAGAGACGGAGAGGCACGATGATAAAAACCCAATTAAGGTCTGTTCTGCTCTGCAGATGAATGAATGCATACACGCACGTATGAATATCTACACATGATGACAGACAGAGAAGGCCCACGACGTCAGACGAAAAAGAACGGGCGAGACATGCATCCGCGCGTGACCCCCCTCACGAAGCGCGAGGGAGAAAACGAGTCGAGGACGGGTATGGTCAGATCACAAAAAGAAGCCCGCCTGCCTGCAGCGAGGCCATCACAGGCAAGCGAGCAACAGTAGCAACACCCAACGGCTGGCCCCAGCAGCCTTTCCAGCCAGCCAATGCCACCATCCTTAAGTCTAGATTCTGACATAATATGGGCAGCTGAGCAGTCTCCACGGTCGCACGCCGTCACTTGACATGGCGGCGATGCTGGCGAGGGCCCTTCTCATAGGTCCGTTATCTTGTTCCGCGTTCCTCATCTCTACTAAGATCTCCCCTCCCCCCTCTTGCCATGAATCGTGGTGATGCTTCGCTCTGCACCATATATCCAAGACACCTGGCCGAGCATGTCTAGATACCTACATAGTATATGAAACCTACGCAGTAGGGTTCCAGCAGTTCGCAGGAGAAACAAGGCGAGTCGGTCAGCAGAGAACCGTAGGTGCTCAGTACGCAGAAGCTTGAGTTGGAACAAGGCCGAGACTGTGATGCGTATCCAAATTCCGACCCCCACACCTCACACCAACCCATTGGCCTCTAAGCTACCCTGATTGGTCAGTGAGAGCCGTCACCGCCCATTGGCATCCCACACACACTGACGCATTGGCACCTCTGTTCTTGGCCGGGTACGACGCTGGATTTGGGGGAACACGGCCGGGATTCTGGCCGGGGGAAGTGTGGACCGGTGGCCTCTGCGCTATCATTGCCCGCGCCTCCAGCTCAGCTCCTCTCCAAAAATGGCAAAGAGGGTTCTCAGCGGCGGACGCGCTTGTTCGGCCGCCTACCACGTAAACTACCTATACTGTTCGTGACTAGCATTCGCCAGCCTTCAATAGGGGAAGAGGAGGCAACACTGTGAAGGACATTGCACCACGTTGGCGAGATCCTCCTGTGCGTGTCTAACAAGAAAAATGCACGGAAGAACAGCAGACGCCCGTCATGCCCACGTTACATTGCTAGACAATATGATCATCGGCGATTTACGCAGTACGCCGATTCGGATCTGGATCTCAAATAAGCAGGGTATGGTGCAATGGCAGAGCCTGCGCGCCCCCACCAGTCCAAGATGGACATCGTGAAGTCTGTGTTCCACAGCGGCGCACGCGGCCACAGGAAAACCTAATGCTGAGCAACCGGGAAATTTCGCAGATTCCTGCCATCTCACAACCCTCACGAGTCAAGTCCTGCATTCCCTGTCGAGCCCCAATGAGGAAACCCAGCCCCCTCCCTCCCCTAAAAAAAAAATCAGAAAAAATCGCTCTTTCAAAACCGGTGAACTGTCAAAGGTTCGCAAGGAAGCAACCCTGTAGTGTAGAAGAGAAAAAAAAACAGTGAGGGCTGGCAAGCCTCGAGATACCGCCGGCGATGATCGAGTGACAGCGTCTTACCTAAGCTCTATCCTGCTTCATGTCATGTGGAATGTCAGCTTTCGTCATTTGACCTAGGCTTTGATAACAACTGGGCGACCACCCTGGTTTTCATTCTTCATCATCTCGCCGAGATACCTATCTCATTCCAGCAGTCGAAAAGGGTGAGACACGGATAGGTTGGCACGTGTCAACGGACATGCACCCTATAATCCCCATTACCTTAATTCGAGGTTTCAAGATGTCCTGCAGCGCAGATGTGCGATAGGGGGGTTTGCTATTGAAGTAATCCCAACCGAGCACATCTGTAGAAAAAAGTAAGCTCGAAGGGCCGTCATTGTCCATGTCCCCCGTGAGATAGATTGATAAGTGCAAAAGAAAAAGGAATGAGATAAGGGGGGAATGTATGTAAACATATACCTAGATAGAACTACAAATCTACAAATTTGGCATGCCGCTAGTCAGGACGCAGAACATCAAGGAAAACCGGGTTGGTTTCCAACAAATGAGAAATGTCATAGGGCAGACGCTATCTAGTCGATGGTGTAGCGCAGCATTCCGTTATCGATATTGATTTGGTCGCCGTTGCCCCGGCTTCTCATGCCCCGTGATAGTATTGCCCCACCAAGATTTTCTGCCCCTCCCCCGGCATCGGCGATAGACAGGTGAAGGTGCCATTACCGTGATCGGTGAGCTCAGGTCAGCTTCTCACTCTCACTCTCACTCAGATATCATCAAAACTTGGTTTCCCGAGCTTGCACGTCACTACATATAAGAACGGCTTCCCCTTATGCTACCAAGAGAAGAGGAATTAAATAGTGCCTGTCTTTGGCTTCGCGCGCCTCAATACCACCAGGAATGTGTCAGATTCAGAACCTTACTCCAAGGTCAGAAGCATTGGCAACCCACTTCCCATTCCAGTCCAGATCGTGCCCGTATCTTGGCCGTGGAAGCGATCGATTCGCAGCCGGTCCACTCGTCGCCGGCCATCGTGGCAGGCCAGCCATCAACATAAGAAAAAAAATTAGTTTCTATTCAACAGATGTACTAGGCCTAAAGCTTGTGGAAAGAATTTTCTGCAGGGACGGCACGAACAAAATTCTGACGCGGGGCTCCTGCATTCCCCCGCCTGTCACTTTCTGCCCCGCTATTTGATCTCACCGCCTGCCGTATCCATGATGCATAAGCCATATCCCACAGTTGCAGATCTGTGACAGCGGAGCCGGCTCCCCACTATCAAGGTATCTTGCTTGTACAATTGGTCAATCGAAATGGAACAACAGTGGACGGCATGGAGGGGGACCAGACGAATTTTTTTTACTTTTTTTCCCTTCAGAGTAAGGTAAAACTCCAAGGCCCTGCCGATTTACTCTTCTTCTATTCCTTCTCTCTTTTTCCTCTTTTCTTCCTCCGGCCATGGTTGTCTAGAATCACACATAACTTCCCGAAGATCTATCGTGGCAGATGATCGCTGGGAAGCTCCCGAACCACTCAACGAGACTCTTTTGACGAGCTCTCTGCTGCCACTTTTCTCTAGCGCTTCTCTATTTCTAGTTGCTGCTACGTAACTCTCGTACCCCCTCTCCCACCCCCATCGAGAGTTTCTTCCTCGGTCGTTTGCCCCGCATCATCCTCACAAACGACAATGGCGCCCACCGTCTACCCCCCGGCTGCGGCCCGTATCGCCGGCTCCGATGACGAGGGCCTCATGGCTCTCGAGTTGCCGGACGGCACCGTTTACCAGGGTTACAGCTTCGGTGCTCAGAAGAGCATCGCCGGAGAGCTTGTATTCCAGACCGGAATGGTGGGATATCCCGAGTCGGTGACAGACCCCTCGTACCGCGGCCAAATCCTCGTCATCACCTTCCCTCTGGTCGGCAACTACGGTGTGCCCTCGCGGGAGACCGTCGACGAGCTCTTGGGTGACCTTCCGGCCCATTTCGAGTCTTCCCAGATCCACATCGCTGGTCTTGTCGCTCACTCGTACTCGGGCGAGGACTACTCCCACTTCTTGGCCGAGTCCTCTCTCGGCACCTGGCTCAAGGAGCAGGGTGTCCCTGCCATCTACGGCGTCGACACCAGAGCGCTCACCAAACGTCTGAGATCCCAGGGTAGCACCCTTGGCCGTTTGCTGCTGCAGAAGAAGAACCTCACCAACGGCACCGCCAACGGCCACGTCAGCGGTGTTGCCTCGTTCTCCCTTGACGACTTCCAGACAGTAGACTGGGTGAACCCCAATGAAAAGAACCTTGTGGCTGAGGGTAAGTCTTGCCGACGTTCCGTGGTCCGGTGTTTGCTCATCCTCTATTCTAGTGTCCATCAAGGCCCCCAAGCTGTACAAGCCTCCCTCGAGCGTCGCCGTAAAGAAGCACCCGTCCGGCAGGCCCATCCGTGTGCTCTGTCTGGATGTTGGTATGAAGTACAACCAGTTGAGATGCTTCCTGAAGCGTGGTGTTGAAGTCTTGGTCTGCCCCTGGGATCACGACCTTGTGAAGCAGGCCGGCGACGAGTACGACGGTCTCTTCCTCTCCAACGGCCCCGGTGACCCGGCCATGCTCGAGACCACTGTCAAGAACATCCAGGCTGCAATGGATAAAACCAAGACCCCGGTCTTCGGTATCTGCTTGGGCCACCAGCTGCTCGCCCGCGCCTCGGGAGCCAAGACTGAGAAGATGAAGTTCGGCAACAGAGGTCACAACATCCCCTGCACAAGCATGATCTCCGGAAAGTGCCACATCACCTCCCAGAACCACGGCTTCGCCGTCGACTCCAAGTCCCTGACTGCCGACTGGAGGGAGCTCTTTGTGAACGCCAACGACGGCAGTAACGAGGGTATCGCTCACCTGTCCAAGCCCTATTTCAGTGTGCAGTTCCACCCTGAGAGCACACCTGGACCTCGCGACACCGAGTACCTCTTTGATGTCTTCATCAGCACCATCGAGAACTGCGCCGCCGACCCCAAGATGCTCAACGCTCCCGTCAGCTTCCCCGGCGGCACCATCGAGGAGAACGAGCGTCTTCACCCCCGGGTCCACCCTCGCAAGGTGCTCATTCTGGGCAGTGGTGGTCTCAGCATTGGACAGGCTGGAGAGTTCGACTACTCCGGATCTCAGGCTATCAAGGCTCTGAAAGAAGAGGGCATCTACACCGTCCTCATCAACCCCAACATTGCAACCATTCAGACCTCCAAGGGTCTTGCCGACAAGGTTTACTTCCTCCCGGTCAACGCCGAGTTCGTCCGCAAGGTCATCCAGTACGAGAGACCCGACGCCATCTACGTCACGTTCGGTGGCCAGACCGCTCTGCAGGTCGGTATCCAGCTGAAGGACGAGTTCGAGGAGCTCGGCGTCAAGGTCCTGGGTACCCCCATCGACACCATCATCACCACCGAAGACCGCGAGCTCTTCGCCCGCAGCATGGACTCCATCGGCGAAAAGTGTGCCAAGTCTGCCTCTGCCTGCAACATTGACGAGGCCATGTCCTGCGTCAAGGACATTGGCTTTCCCGTCATTGTCAGAGCTGCCTACGCCCTGGGTGGTCTTGGCAGTGGTTTCGCCAACAACGAGGCCGAGCTGCTCGACCTTTGCAACAAGGCCTTTGCTGCCAGTCCTCAGGTGCTCATCGAGCGTAGTATGAAGGGCTGGAAGGAGATCGAGTACGAAGTCGTTCGTGATGCCCAGGATAACTGCATCACGGTGTGCAACATGGAGAACTTCGACCCTCTCGGTATCCATACCGGTGATTCCATCGTCGTTGCTCCCTCT